TATGCTGGCGAACGCAGCAGCCTTGAAAGGCTCTGTTTATTAGAGGCTTAAAGCGCTCTATCTCGTCATTAAGGAGACGATTTATTAGCCCAATTAAGGCTTTTCCGGCGATTGCCATTTCTGACCGTAGAGCCTTGTAACCAACTTGAGGACAAGTGGTTTTAATCTCAATAACTACCGTATTAATTGTGTTCTGCAGGACTTGGCGGACATTAGCGACAGAAAACGGACTCCGGTGAGCCACCGGCGATCGCAGGTTCCGGTGCGGTTGAGTGCAGTGCAGTCCAGTGGAATCTCGAGATGCTTTTTCGGGATTTTGTCGGGAAGCATGATTCTGCTGGCCGTTAGAGCCTTCCCCGGCTCCGGTTCCCGAGCCGAGCCGTTGAACGCATTGGAGTCGAGGAGGCGAGTGGAGATCAACGCGCCACCGAGACAGAACGGAGAAGATGACAGCCGACGATCTCGATGGCAGCTTCATTAACGGCCGGCAGATCGTTTCCACCAATTGACGGGAAGCTCCGGATCCGAACCACCTCGATCTGCAAACTCAGCTGCATGTTTTAGTTTCTCTCTCTACCGAACTGGCCGCCGTTCAGCGCTCCGTCACCGCCATGAAGCTACCCTTCCCCCCCAGTCCCAGAATAAATCCATCTCTCTTTGTTTCCTAATGTAATGTTTGGTCACCTATCTTTCACTGTCTTGTTTGTCCCAATTCCATAATAATAATAATTATTATTATACAAACATCTCCCTCTCTGTCTCATATATTAATCGTACACAAAATAAAAATATATAATTAATTAGAATTAATCACGGGTCCTGTTATCAATCGGAACCTACTTTATTATCACTAGATTGTACCCCAGCCCGTTGGCCGGTTGCAATACAATAGTCGTTATTAACAAAGGTTTGAAGTTTAAATTTCAGTAATCTCCTCTTATATTCTTGTCATACTTATATGTCAACGTCGTGTGAATGAACAAATAATGGTAACATTTGCCTTTTATGTTGATTCTTGTTGAAATTCAAAAGGTAAGACTTATGCTAGAGTATATTAGCTCATATTAAACTCAATGTCACAATATTATAGGTACTCCAATGTAATCGGTTTATTCATCAACAATTTTCATTTTTAACTCCACTATCTTCATCATCAATAAACACTTCGACCTTTTGTATTTTTTGCGAAGCAAATTCAAACACAAAGCATGATTATACATTATATGTAATTTTCATGACAACTTACATAATTTTAGTCACAAATGTTGTTGGAAGTTAATTTTTTCCATCATTGATTATCTTCGAAGCTGTTAACCGAGTTATGGGATTTATGATGTTGTAATCACTAAACTTGAAACTTCTACCTCAGCTCATTTTTTAAAAAATACTACATTCCTTCATTTAATGAGACATTAGTGAGAGGAGGTATCATTCTTCAATTATTTTTAGTAGCTTTTCATAATTAACTCTAAAAATTTGGATTCTTGATGACCAAAAGACAATAAAATCATATTTTGTAGTATCCAAAACTCAAGTTGGAACTTAAATATGAAATGCGTTAGTAATTGCTTGGTAGTATCTATCATTCAAGTTGGGTCTTAAATATTAAAATGTTAATAATTGAAATTCATTATTTAGAAGAACATATAAGATTTAGTGAGGATGATTCTTAAATTGACTAAATTATCATCTAACAACTATAAAGTTTGATGTTGCTAGTCAATTCTCACAAAACAACTCATCCAAGTCTTCTTTCATTTTCTTTGATAGGTTCTATATTCTGCATAGCACCACAAAAGATTCTTAAATTTGTCGACTTAGCATTGGATAAAATAACAATTAGCCTAAAAAAACTAATTAGGATTTGTATCTTGATCAATCGTTAGATTCAAACATATATTTGGTTACTTTTGCATAAATGACCATATTTGTGAATTATTAAATTCAGTGGCATAACCAGGATTTTGTAAAGTATGAGTCCATTTAGAAAAAAATACATATGATAAAATAATTTTGTTAGATTTTTAAATCATTCATGATATAATTTTGTAATTAGAAAAACTTGGTAAATTAAATATATATCGAAACTATCAAGAATATCACTCTATATGTATCAAACCATTATTCATGATTTAGTTAGACATTTGCTTTTGAATGGAGTTCTTTGTCAAAACCATCAAGTATTAATAACTCGTATTGTTGGAAAAATTTAATAATGAAATTTATATTATTTAGTATTTACTAACACTTCCCTACTAACCAAAACCAACTTATACGTGTTTAAAGTTTTCACAAATTCGAATATTTTGTGCTTAACAAATGGGTCGCCAAGATTCGAACACATGATCTGTCGGTCAACCATTCTCAATTAGAAGTGTTCTAAATTTTATTCTCAATTAACTATTATACTAATTTACTCATTTTCATCCTTCGTAGCCACCCGTTACACTTTCACTATCTCTGATTGAAATAAAATTATATTTACATATTAGCTATAATTTGATAGAAATTTGTTGTAGATATTAAATAAGTACGTAATCTTTTTCATACCCGATTAATTATTATATCTAATCTACCATATTATCTCTCGAGTCAGGGTAGATCCCGGGTTCCTCCCTCTAACCCTCTCCATCCGCCCCTGGTTAAATCAAAACATATGAAACTTTGTTCATGTGATATGATTGCATGCATGTTGATGGACTAATCTTTATATTTATTTGTAACTCTAAATTCTAAAACTCTAGTCGACTACGGGAGAATAATAAATGAAAAGGTGCAAGTGATATATGCCCATAGAATAGTAGCTCATGTAGTTAAAAAAAAGAAAATAGTAGCTCATGCACCGAAAAGTGGGATTAAAAAGTCTAAAATGGCCTTCCATGCTTTGCGGGGAGAGCAGGAAAAACAAAATTAAGTAGGTCTTGAGGGAGAACCTACTTATACATTTGGGAGGATGATTGAAGGAGAGGGGGTTTTATTATATAAGTTTAGTTTGACTCTGCTGTAGCTTTTGCAGAAGCAGATTCTGACTGGAGTTTTTAGATAAGTACTTTTAAAAAAAAAACAGTTTAGTGTTTGGCTGTAAAACTATTAAAAGTGCTTTTTAATATGAGCGGTTGTGTAAAATGACTATAAAGGACTTATAATATTAAATAAAAATAAAAATTCTAAACAATAAAAAGTAGTCAAAATGGATCTTGTTAGATTTCTTTTATATTAAATAATATAATATAATTTTTTATTTTATTTTATTTTTAAAATGATATAAATGAAGGAAAATTATATTTTCTGAAATAAAATTAAAATATAGTAAGGATAATCTTGTATTTTCAAAACAGCTTTTCGCAGAAGCTCCAAATCGGAGCTTCTGCTTTTATGTTGTACAAAAGCGCTTTTCGACTTTTCAAAAGTCGAACTTTTAGAGGTGTTTGGCCATGCTTCAACTTTTGACGCCGAAAAACACTTCTAAAAGTCGGGCCAAACATAGGCATAGTTTAATAGGCAGATCAATATATTAATATAATAATTAGGGGCTGTGATTGCATTTGCATACCTTTATCTTTTCCTACTTTAATATGGATTAGGACGCTCTGCTTGAAATGAAAGGAGTCCTAATTGAACAGCACATTGAGTGCAGGAATGGTTCACGTACAACCTCACCCAAAATGTTAAAAAAAAACTCTATAGCCCATTCGTGTGCATACAAGCATGTCTATGCCCTTTTTGGTTTGAAATTATTAATATACCTAACTCCCCATACTTTTAAGAAAAATACTTGGTGGCGATGCAGTGCCTTATTGCGGGGCGGAGATGGCCTATGGGCATGTATTATGTGACCCATTATGGTATTTTTTTAGTATTATTAGTCTAAAATTAATTTTTTGTTAGCAGTTTTTGTTAATAATATTGACTCAACAATATGATATTGACTGAGAAAATATATATAGCGCACAACATCCTATTAAAAAAAATGAAAATTGTGACTAATAAATGATATTTACCTAAACTCAAGTAGACTCTTTGATTATGGGTAGGGTATGGGTGACGTATATATGAGTTTGGAAGATTGTAGATAGGTTTGGGTATGGTATGAGTATTTACTTCCATAATCTAAATGTGTATGAGTTGGGTATGGATACCCATTTATTCGAGGGTGTTTTCATTACACATACAAAAATTAGACCTATTTGTAGAACTTCAATAGTTTAGTTGCCAAAATGTAATACACAAAAATTTTAGGCACTAAAATGTAATATTTCATCAATATTTTGAGGACTTATATGCCAAAAAATAAATTTAGGTTATAAATCTAAAGATCTATTAATTAAGTTTAGATATCGAGCTGTAATTTGCATAGTTGAGGCTTGATTCCTTTTATGGTGATGTATTTAAGATGATAATTGTTTACTTTTTATAGAAAAATAGGAACTTATTTTATATGTGTAGATACCTAAATATTGAACCTATATGTAAATTTTAAAAAGTGTAGGTACAAAAATCTCATAAAATTTAAATACCAAAACATAATTATTCAATGATTTTATATTAAAATTAAATTTGGGTATCAAAATATAAATTTTACATTATAGTGACTAAATTGTTATTTAATTAAATTTGGGGTATCAAAATATAAATCATTACACAACAGTAACCTAACTTCAGCTTTATATATATTAATATTTCATCAATCTTTGTTTATTGGGTTTGAGACGATTTTTGCTATATAATACAAGGTGTTCTTATCATAGTGATAAGAATCGTACAGTAAATCATGAAATTATTCAGGATTATGCAAATCATCTTGAGCTGCTCTCCAAGCTTATGAGTCAAGTTTCCTCGCCTAATTCCTTTTGTATAAAAAAAATTGATTCGTTTTGAAACTCTATCAATAACTCGAGTCAAGTTTCCTCGACTAATTCCTTTTGTATAAAAAAAATTGATTCTTTTTGAAACTCTATCAATAACTCGAGTTATTAGGATAATCTGAATTTCAACATAACATCAAAACATTTAGGCAAAAGATCATGTATTTGAATTGAAATAACTTCCGATATGTGCATATAGGGTTATTCCTATTCCCTACCACTTGAGCCTGCTAAAAATTTCATTACATAAGCTTATTTAGAATTAGAAGTATTACAGATCATTCCAACAGTAACAACTAACAAGACATCAATCAGCACACATTAGAGCCAAAATAACACAACAGAATCAACTCCGAAAAATTTTCAAAGCTCGACCAAAAAGAAACCAAGATAGGGACCAAAAAGCGACGTAAGAGGAAGCTAAGGGCGACTGACAACAAATATGTAAGCCCAAATCTCAAGTGTAGGTGATTCAGACATTGGCAGGCGCATGGTTCGGCGACTCAAAGGATTCTTGCAATTCCTGATTGATCGGGAACATGTAGTTTTGTGCAAATTGTGCCATTAGCTGATCGACTAGCACCAGGGCTACCATTGCTTCAACCATGGGAACCGCTGCATTAAACACATCATCCAATCACAGTAAACATCTTCTATCTTCTGGCATTTGCCGCATCAGATAACTCATGAGAAATGACAACTTTCTTATTGGATTTAGTGATTGTAGGTTCTACCTCTTGGGACGACACAAGGATCATGGCGGCCGCGAGCTATCAGCTCTGTTTCGTGTTTATCTCTCGTCACTGTATTCTGCTTCTTCTGCACGAGTAAGAATGTAATATGAAACCATGCTCGCAAATGGAGAGGCGAAGAACAACTCAATCCACAGTGATATGAAGAATAGCAGAAAGTTTGTTTCAAATGGAACTCGTATCGACATGTTTCGAGCAGGGTTGAGGCACAGAAACTTACGGTGATGGTTGATGTGGGCTTGAAACCAATTCTCATGTGTATGATTTCACCATTTGATATTCCTCCCTGCATGCCACCACCATTGAGAAGTGTCAGCGACCATAATTTCTCTGAAAAGTTGCCTCACGGAAGAATTATGGCATAGAGCGAACCTGTATCCCACCCGAACGGTTTGTTCTAGTCCTTATTTTACCATCTTCAGTCATGTAAAATTCATCATTATGTTCACTACCTGTTAGATATGTACCTGCAGCATAATTATGACAGTAGCAGTATCAGAATCCAGTTTATAGTTACCAAAACCAATATAGAACCAACAGTGTCTGAAAGTTCTCAACCTGCAAACCCGCTGCCAAATTCAAAGCCTTTTGTTGCTGGTAGTGACATTGCAGCTTTAGCCAGCTCGGCTTCAAGTTTATCAAACACTGGTGATCCAAGCCCCTGGCACAAATATACAGCAAAGGGTTAATCCAGAACAGCCATTTAAAGGAAATCGTCACAGATACAATAATGATATACTTACACGTGGTGCATTCCTCACAATACAAGTTACAACGCCACCGACTGAGTCTCCTTTCACTCTGACAGCATCAATCGCAGCGATCATCTTCTCAGCATACTCAGGATCTGGACATCTGACGATATTGCTCTCTATCTGTGAAATTTCAGGCATGAGATAATCTGGAATATGGCCATTCACGAAGGGTGATTTTTTGTATGCATGGACATAAGAAAATTAGGCAAGCTTGAGCGTTCACGACCATCTAGAACATGGTTACTCAATATTACAGATGATGCAAAGTTCCCCCCATTTCATATGGCTCTTGTGGAGCTCATCAAAGAGGGCAGTCCAAGTTCAGATGGAACGGGTATCAATAGCACCCCCATCTCTTTCCTTCTAGGTTAAGGTGCAGTGTTTATAAGGCACACTATGACTAGTTCAGTTTCCCCTAATACTACAAGATATGAGTCTCTTTATTTGTCCCAATTGCTTTCATGTTTTACATTTTGCGTACTGACATTATCAATCTATATTGGACGAACTATGTAGAGAAACTGTGTGAGCTGTAAACTTTCTTTGCACCATATGATGTTTCTTTTCTGTTTTATTCTTTTTGATAAAATCTTCGACACTATGATGTGTGTGTTTATATATTTCTTATGAATTCCTTATTATGATGTTCACAGCATTTGTGGAAGGCTGAAGCTTCTAACTAGCCTACTAGTTTATATGCACGTGGATGGCTTTGACTGATGGTACCTCTCAACTCAACATAACAAGAAGTTAGCATGTATTGTTTACCAAAAAAAATTCCAGCATTGAACACAAACTGTCACTTATTAAAATTACTGGACAACATGAATTTTCTTTTCTTATAAACGAGGCTAGCTTCAAGGTGAAAAGGTTCAAATTCCAAGTACAAAATATCAACAGATTCGGGAAAGTAACAGGAATTTATACCTGATCGAGTGTCAGTGACTCATGATCAACCACACCCTCAGGTAGAACAACTTTGTGCACTTGAGAAACATATGCAAAAACCTGGATAAGAGATAAATGAACAATAGAGAGAAGTCACTTAACAATGAGATTTTTTAATTCGGTAAAGCAAATGTGATGCATAAAAAATGGAACTTCAACAAGCTCTCGTAAGGTTGCATGACAGGTCGAAATAAACCGGACCAAGAATTGGAAAAAAAAGTATGATGTAACCAATTTTCAAACAAACTACTCAACAGGAGCTGATAAAGCGACCATGAGAATAAAAAGAAAAAAACTGTACTGAACCACATATGTTGACTAACTATGGAAAAATCTAAAGTCTTAACTGACAACGAAGATAATAATTTGCATAAACTTATCGCAGCTTCCTACATGACTGAAAAAATATTGCATTAAGCTGTCACAGGTACCCAAACTTCCAAAACTGGTCCTTAACTTGTCGCAGTTTCATAAGTGACTGAATAAAATCTCACATAATTGCATCAAACAAATCAAATGTCAAGTTTGCTGACAAACCTCTTCTCGTATTAAATTATGTCAGATAGATACTCTGAAAACCTTTGAATCCTTATGAGTAGGTTTAAGCACATCAGTTAATCCAACCTAACACACCTCAGTTCCAGCAAATTGCTTGAGAATCTTTTTCGCAACAGCTCCAGCTGCAACTCTTCCAATTGTTTCTCTTGCAGAGGATCTACCACCACCCTAGATCAGTGGACAAAGTAAAAATTTAAAACGGACAAAGTTCTTAATTTCCTTGTCACAGCACAAACCAGTAAATATAATATGCATTACCTGCACTGATCTGACACCATATTTCATGTCATAAGTTGCGTCGGCATGAGAAGGCCTATAAGCCAAAGACATTTCCTTGTAATCCTGAAAACACATGAAAAAGTAACTAAAAATATCAGAACCAAGAAAAAGATAACCAATAACTGTCCAGCCTTCAGCGTGTCACATTCCCCTAGGCAATTAGATGATTCATATCAAGCACAACAGCTCGTGATATATAATGCGCCAAGAAAAAACTAAACTAAACTATTTGTCCATGGCAAAGCAAAAGCATTATCATGCCCATAGGTAAAACAGTATCTCGGGACACAGAGAACAACATACAATGTACCACAACAAAAGAAGCGGTTATTGCCTGCCATCTAACTTACTGGAACAAAATCACAATAGGACAGGTAACCCTTTCAGACACTATTGAGGATTACCAAAAGGAAATAATGCATGTATAGCCGACCAGAGAAATGAGGTACAATGTGACATACAGGTGAAGAAACCATGTTAACCATCAACTGAAGCTATATGCTAAATAAGTAGGATCTCCAGGGGTGCCACAGCCCTTCAACATTGTATTAATAATTGAAACTCACACAAACAAACAAAGAATGATATGCTAATGAGTATTAAGATTTTTAGTCTCGCAGCAGATACTTACATGACCTCTTTGGTCGGTATTCGGTACAAACACATGAATCGGCGTTCCAGTTGTAAAACCTGTATGTATTCCTTGTCAGTTGTTTGAAAGACAATATATGCCACAATATGGCGCTACTAAAGAAAATACTGCAAGCAAATTATGAACATAAGGCAAATCTCAACCTTCAGCAACACCAGAAGATATTGTGCATGTATCAGTCTCTTTCCTGGGGGTGGTAATTCGGCTCTGACCAGGCCTCCTATACGAAGATAACAGTAACCAATGGGGTAAGAGCCCTAGGATGATACAATAAAAGCAGATATGTCGACTAGCTAAGGAGAAACTTTTTTATCGGGTAGCCAATAGCCCAATATAGTAGAAATGACTAATGAGATTAAGCAATCACACAAGTTTGCAAGAAGCTTTTGCCAGGCTAGAAGAATGTATCTACATAACACAAATGGAGCATTACCTTCTATCAAGATCCACTTGCATATCAGCTTCAGAGAGGGGTAGCCTAGGGGGGCATCCATCAATTATACATCCAACACCACCACCATGAGATTCTCCAAATGTGGAAACACGGAAGTGATTGCCGTATATACTCCCAGCTGCATTTACCTCTGTTGATCACCGTGCACGAAAGTCAAGTCAGAGTTGGAATCTTTTGGTATCCTAAAATTCACGAGGCCATTCATAGAAAACTTTGGATATTAAAAGTGCCCACTTTTAGCTATAGCCAATAATACTAAGCAGAAAGCTGCAATCCTAATTTAAATGTTTCACCAGAAACAGCAATTGTTCAAACTTCATAGTAGCTATACAATGCCCAACATATAGTGGCTGCATCTCTAGCGTCTCTTAAACAAGCAAGCATTTCTCAAGAACCTTAGCGGAAACTACATTCCTTCTAGTTTGAATTCATACGCAAATGAAAAGGCTACAGAATACAAATGGGGGAAAAAAACAGAGAGCACAAGAGGGGGCAGTAGCAAGCAAGAAGAAAACAAAAGGTAGAAGACAAGCGATATGCTTGTTGTTACTAATACTGAAAGTGCAACCTTGAATTCTCATGCTTTAAAACTAGTGAATCGATATCACATCCTCAACCATGAATGAACTAGCTACGGGGCTTGCACTGATCCTCAACCAGTTGCTCGTGACTGAAATGGGAAAGGGCGAGCCACTGTAACCATGAATCATCGCTCCCAGAATTCAACAACCAGCGAACTGGAATTCGTGCCTAGGCAACCCAATAGTGACAAACCCATTTGCAATGCCAGAGACAATTCTCTCACACGCTCATCCGGAAATCAACAACTACCGTTGACGAAATCGTTTTCCGGCGGGATTTACTCTCAAAAGAAGTATAGAAAACCTCAGATACAACAATTTCGACAATCTCCTATCCGGAATTCGCAAGTAGAGCAGAGCAATTGAAGGAAAAATAAGCAAGAGAGAGAGAGAGCGCGAGAGACTAACGGAGCTTCCTCAGAGTGCGAGGTCCAACAGAGATTTGAACGGTGGAGACGGAGAGCTTCCCGAGATCGGAGGAAGCGAGGCCATCGAGTCTCGAAGCGCCGAGGAACTGCTTAGAAGCGAGGGAAGAAGAAGAAGAAGCAGAAGCCATGAGCGGCAGTTGGAGCGGAAATGGACAAAATTGAAGGCCGAGAGGGGAGGAAGTTAGGTAGAGGAGAAGGTAGAGCCAGAGATCATAAAGCTCCGAAAATGGGGTTGGTAGATTGAATCTGTGGAGGAGAGAGCTCAGAATGAAGAAATGGAGCACTTCAAGTTTGGTTCAGAAGGAGTCGTCATTGGGGTTGTTGAGCTGAGTGGGGCTGCCGGGCAGAAACTCCTCACTACCCACCTACCCCCAATTGAGCCTCTTATATCTTACTGAGTTTATAAAAAGTTACGAGAATGATTGTAACGTCGGACTTTGAAAGCAAAATTTTTTACTTCAAAGAAGGTAATGTGGCACGCAACTTTCCTCGACATTCTAATTCATTCAATTTCGAACTATCACTTATCGATCACAAGAATACCAACTAACCGACTACAAACTTTCATGAATGGCACAAACATACGGTAAAACAGTTCGTACACAAAAAAAATTTACTTCGAAGAAGGTAATGTAACACACAACTTTCCTCGACATTTTAATTCATTCAATTTTCGAACTATCGCGTATCGATCTCAAGGATACCAACTAACCGACTACAAACTTTCATGAATGGCACAAACATATGGTAAAACAGTTTGTTATATGAATGCCTATGGCTTTATGTGTTTGCAGTGCCTCTCGGAAAAGGGGGGAAAACGTGTTGCTATGTTGCTGTAATCAATGGTTGTAACGGGTGAAAATGAATGGTGACAGAAAAAAGGGTGGAAAGCAAAAGAGCAGGGTACAAGAACAAGTGTTGGTGGCAGTGTGTTCACTGTTCAAACTCGACCACAGCCCTAGCGGGTGCTCGAGGTTTCAGCAACATCTCGTCATACTCGTCTTCAGGATTCGACAGAGCAACAATGGCTCCCCCTGCTCCTATTGAAGCTTCGCCTTCGTGTATTACCACGGTTCTGATCACGATGTTCAGATCAAACGTCTGGTTGTAACTGAAATACCCGATAGAACCGGAGTAGATTCCACGAGAACAGCTTTCCAGACCGTCCAGAATCTCCATCGATCTCAACTTCGGGGCACCTGTCATCGACCCTCCTGGAAATGCAGCTTTGACACAATCTATTGTGCTCACATTTGACTTCTTCTGGCCTCGAATCGTGCTGACCATTGTGTGAACGGTCGAATATGATTCCACGTCCATGAGTCGTGGAACGTGGACGGAGCCAGGCTCGCAGACACGGCCTAGATCGTTCCTTAGAAGATCCACGATCATAAGGTTCTCAGCCTGATCCTTTTCACTGTTAGCGAATAGCGAGAAGGAAAAAAGGGTCAGTCAAATGAGCCAGTTGAGAAGCAGCAGAGAGGATACCTAACAGACAAACCAGAAGAGTCTTAATAATATACCTATATTGGAGTTGAAGCTTAAGTTGTTCATCTTGTTCCTTTGTTGTGCCACGAGCTATCGTGCCTTTGATGGGCTTTGCTTCAAGTACACCATCTCTGTCCAAGCGAAGGAACCTTTCTGGTGAAGAACAGCAGACGGACAGGTCTTCACTCGAGAAATTAAGCCATGCAGCATATGGTGCAGGGTTTTTCTCTCTCAGGTGAAGGTAAAGGCCTAAGGAATCTATATCTCCTACTCTTTTCCTTAACTGAGAAGTGAAACATAACTCGTAGCTCTCACCATCTTTGATGTAATCCAGACACTTCTCAACATCTTCGATATACTGCGTTCTAGATTTCTCGGCACAAAAACTTGCCTCGACCGCTGTAAATGTGGTACAAGACTGTGGGATCTCGTCATTTAAGCCAGTAGCTGCAACAGTAGGGTGTAAATGGAGGAGCTTGCTTTGAGTATCCTCCAACCATTCTGAGCTGCTTTTGCCTACCTCATGTACCGACATTATGTACACGTCGTCTGTACTATGATCAATGACTACAAAGCTGTCAGCAAAGAAAAAACAGGCATCTGGTGTGGAAGATTCATGTCGGTTGGATTGCCTGCTGCATTCAACTTTGAGGCCATAACTGTGAAGAACAGAAACTCAACATAAGATGGTTGATGGATCATTAAGTTTTGCCAGGTCTTGTTTATTCTGAATGAAAGGTATCACTCTAACAGAAAGTTTAAATCGCTTTAACGAAACCCCGCGTCTAAGTGACTAATCGCTGAATTATGAAAAACATTGTAGTTTACTAAGGCACAATCAAGTGATGTGATATCAAAGACGGCTTCCAATAGATTTGTTCATCGATTTCTATAGCCAGAATACCCCATCAAGGGAATCCAAAAGGTCAAACAGAAGGTAAGCTTACCCAATTTAACCAACGTATCCACCGTAAAATTCGAAAGGTAGTCCCTCAAAATCTTTTTCATCATAATCATATGATTGGAGCTCCTGGCAGAAAGATCAGGCAGCTAGAGGAGTATCAGACTAGATTCTTAAGTACTATTGAATTTTCACTGATGCCGAGATAAAACTGCTAATCACAATATGCCTGGTTTCTGGTAAATACTTAAAACTTGAAATGGAGAGAAATGTTCTTGACTTCCCCACCCACTAAGAAACAAGAATAAGCTTATTACGGAAAGGGGTGCGTGCCATACAAGCCCTGAATAGTCACAAACAGAGAAAAGTCTGATAAAGCAAATACCTTATTTAAGAAATCAAGAAAGCCTTTCTCCAAAAATATGCTTGTTGTAGACCCTTGAGAATCTTCAATTGATAAGTAACCTCCACTTTTAGAAGGCCTATCACTTCAGTATAAAATGATACAAGAAGGGAACAGTATATTTTGAAGCTTAGTAAACGGAAACAAAACTGCAGAAAAGTGATGAATGCTTAATTGGTTATCCAGTTTAATAAAACGAACCTCTGATCCAACAACTTGAATGTCATTTGCTTCCAAAGTGATCCACCTACACCTCCCATGAAAGAAAACCGTGCTCGGTTCTGAATATCTCCAGAAGCAGAAAAGGATATGTCAGCTAGAAGTATCCATAACAAGGATAAACAAACGCAGGCACCAGGAAGAGCTGGTTTGCCAGACAGATGATTAAAATAATACCTTTTCTACTGACGAACTGTCTAACCAAAATGTATTCTTCCCTTCAAGCTTGCCATAAAGTCCAGAAAGTATATTTTTTGCCCCACCAACGCGTGCAGCTAATTTATCCAATTTTCTCCATTCCAGCTTCAGATGTTTACTGATAAATGCTGGCCTACTAGACATTCCAGCACAGTTGTCATCTGCGTCGCCTTTTAAATCTTTTCTTAAAGAAGCACCTCCAAATGCTCCAACGCTTGCATTACATAGCACCTGCCAGCTCCTAGGAACTTTAAATAGTGGAGTAGCATCTGGCACCTGCATACGTGCTAAGAAAGGTTTACCACTTAGAGACGGCCATACATCCTCCAAAACTAATAACACAAACTAACTTTTGCATGGTTTAATGGATATTGAAAATGGGTTTCCATTAATTAATCAAAGAAGATATTCCGTACAAGGCAACTAACAATGAAAGGCCGTGTAGTAACTCTGGTTTACCAGTGTAACGAGTTCTATGCCCATTCATAGATGCTGACTTCAATTTCTGCCAATAATTATCGGTGATCTCTCTAAAGTTCTCAAAAATCTGTCTACCGTGACACGTTGCAATGCTCTCGGGATGGAACTGTCATTTCAAGGAATCGAACATTTAGGGGAAAATGAGAGCAAACTGGGACAAACAGGAAAATACAAACTACTGGAATAGCCAACCTAACCTGCAATCCGTAATGAGGCCAAGTAGTATGCCTAATGCCCATGATAACTTGTTTCCTTCGCATTTCATATGTGTGATTAAAAGTCCAAGAGCTCATATCTTGCGATGCTGGTGGTAGATTATGATAACCATCATCATGCTTAATCTGGTGGCCAAAATCACGAGGAAGGGCACTCGAGCTATGTGTTTCAAGGAAAGAATGGGTCCCACTGGAAGTAGTCCACGCAGTTGGTATGAGTTCCTTTGGTAGAGATTCTGCATCAATAACAAGAGAATGATAACGTACCACCTGAAATATTAGGACAGAATTTCAATAGTCTTGCAGTCTAAAGAGTTCTGTGCTAATCAGTACATAGTTTTTGGTCTGTGTCAAAATTATGATCATCGCAGTGGAGGTCATTAGTACGTTGAAGCCACACAAAAAAACTAAGACAATACTAACCTTGAAGCCAGATTTTGTGCCAGAAGGTACATTCTTAAACAATCTGCACCCATCGTGTTCAATCTCACTGCAATGAGCAAAACAAGTACTAAGAACACAAGTGGGAACTTTACATCTACAGTCCTAGTGCAATACAATGATATGAAAATGGTTCTGTTCAATTGTATAATTCTAGGAGTGCATTTCACATACCTCAAGCGTCCATAGAGGTGGCAATTTCAATCCAATCCACCAATCCAATCCATCAATCCATTAAAAATATCCACCTAATCCAATCCATTTAAATCCAATCCATTTGATCCAAATCCAATTGGATTGGTGGATTCATGGATTGGATCCATGGATCATTGGCAAATTACGGTTTAGTACCTATAATTTTTATTTTTTACATTTTGGTACCTAAAATTTAATTTTTTATACGAAAATTATCATTGGAAAATTACGTTTTGGTACCTAAAATTTTTTATTGTGGCATTTTAGTACCTAAACTTTTTACATTTTACATATTGGTCCTTGGTTGAGGATGTCATTTGGATTCATGGATAATCCACCAATCCACTTGATCCAATCCATGAATCCACCAATCCATTAGATCCAATCCATTTGATCCATGGATCCACCAATCCAATCCACCAATCCACCAATCCAATCCATTTGCCACCTCTAAGCGTCCATGTACTGGTTCTGTTGCATGTACAATGCGAGCTCCATGCACATAACCCATAGCCTATCGCGGGAAAATACTTTTAATCCAATGATAACAATACTTTCTTTATCAAAGGACAGCTAATTGCTTGTAAACATTGCAGATATCGTTTTGAAGGGAAAATAAAAAATGCAGGGAAGCCACAATGAAGAAGGAACTTACCTGGTGACCAATACAAACACCAAGAACAGGAATATCCCTGCACTCAAGTAGCAAGCGAAGACATAGCCCTGTAAGATCCAGAAGGATTTGGCAAGGTAATCACATACACCTCTTCAAATAAGAAACAAAAAGCAGATCAAGCAATATCCAAAAAGTAGTCTCCAAGTTCGATTGAAATCTCTTATCATGGAAAAATAAGCTCAAATTCCGCTTAGCATGAATTACACATATATGCTCAAACTTCTACAGCATACTAGCAAGGATAAAATCCTGATATTCATTAACATTTTGTTGTTTGATTCTCACACTTGACTGTTTTACTCTATAAAGGTGCAAGTCTGTAAACATGAATTCACTACAGACAGAGCCGTACCTATATCAGCTGCACATGTCGGAGTCCCGGGTCCAGGTGATATGACAATATTGTCACATGCTTTTTCTTTATACAAATTATGCATGGCACAGTTGTTCCCAAGTCCATTCGTCATTTCGAATCACCACAGGAGGGGCTGATGTTTCGATGCCCAGAAATACAGGAAAAAGGGCAAAGATTCAGCGCATAATGTATCCAGCAAATCCAATAAACTAGCATACACACGACAAGAAAACCAATGCCATGGTAACCAAAACGCTGAATGTGAGTAGACTGAAATTTAGAACATGAAATCCATCCATACCCCCATTGACAACGGACAGCTCTTGGTATATATTGTAGGTATAACTATCATAGTTGTCAATCAATAGTGTCACGAATTCCACTTCTCGAATAGGCTCCTGCAGCTGTTTCTCCCCAATGAAAGACGCCTGCAAGCGCCCAGGAACGGCCTGGCTAGCTACCACCAACTTCTTACCATTTTGGTAAGATTCTCCAACACTTCATTCTTAGCAAAATAACCAACTTTCAGGAAGGGCTTGAACGCCCGCACCAAACTCCCATTGGCACACAACAGACCCTCGTGACAGGCGCTTTTGACATCTACAGAAGTCGACGAGCACACAGCCAAATTCATTTCTTTCCCACTCGAATAAATCCTCAGCCGCTTCTGCAAAGGGGAATTCACCACGGATTCAAATTTACTATAGGCGCTTACACAAAATGAAAAATGAAAAAGCTACTTCAATAGCATAAGCGCACTTAAAAAGATATCTGAAGCCGACCCAGATAAGAAAACAACAAGAAGATCGCAACTTTCACTCAAATCCCAATCCAGATATAGCGAAAAGCATCTGGGGTGGTTCCGCAAATGACAAAAAAAAAGACCAAAAAATTTGAAACGTAGCAAAAGAGAACGAATTCCAAACTGAAACTGCTGAAAGAAAAAGAAACAGATCTCGCAAGCAATGATTCTCCGTTCATGGAATGATGGAAACATCAACACAGGGAGATGCATGGATTAGACGAGTGAGACAGTGACAGAGGTGCAGAGAGAGCCTTATCACCAGGAAAAAAAACAAAAGAGGGAAAAGGATGAAAGAGTGACTGACGTACCTGAAAGTGGGGAAGAGGAAGGGCGGGACGCGAGTTGGAGGGAAATTGATTAGAACAACACAAATTGCAGAGTTGCTTGCTTTGCTCGCTGCGGCCGATTATGTGGAGCGGGAGCGGGCGGTGGCGGGTGAATCTACTGGCGAAGAAGGTGCACCAGACGGTGGGCCCCAGGAAAAGGATGGCAGTTATCCGGATCCGGGTGGATGTGGGTGATGGACCGATGTGGCCCGTTGAAGTTGTGGGCCTCGACTTCCAGCCGCTGGTCTACCTGAGCCCTTTCCTCCATGGTCCGGGCCAGCTAGTCCGGTCCCATATAGAATTTGGCTGCATAGACCATAGTATCGAATAGGGATGGCAATCATACCCATGCCCATGGGTATCTAACCGCCCCCGATCAAGTCAATGCGAAGATGGGTATCTAACCGCCCTCGATCCAGTCAACGCGTAAATCTTCGCATTGACCTGATATGGGGCGGGTATGGGTAAAACCCGCAAAAAATTTTATGGATATGGGGCGGGTATGGTTTTAGCCTCCCCTGTCCCATACCCATACTCATACCCGCCCCATCAAAAATATTTCTCATATATGAAAAATATGTGAATCAATTTGCAACCTATCAATAATAGTGAGTATAACTCAAGAAAAATATATAGTAGAAATGCAATTGAGTGGCCACCCAAATCAAAAACTAACTTCTTTCTCTCAATTTTCCCTTCACTCTTTCACTTTTTAGTTTTTACCCTTTTAACAAAATTATGTTAGTTAAGTATTACTTAATTGATGTATTAGTGTAGAGAATAATGATTTGGATGACATTGTACTCTACTCTGATATGGATTAATGGACGCTTTAGGATAAAATGATTTGAATCGTATTAAAAATGATTGTCTCTTTGTCGGCTTCATGATATAGTTGGTGCGTTTAATGTTATAATTGAAAATCTACATGTACATATTCGGTATTATAATGCTGGATGTACGGGCCGGGTATTACCCATGGGTACCCGAAACCCATGAGTATGGGGATGGGTTTGCAAAACCTTCCCCCACATGGGTATGGGTATGGGGGGGGTATGGGTATAGATATTTGAAAGCGGGGATGAGGATGGTTTAGGCAAACCCGCCCCATTGCCATCCCTAGTATCGAATTATGTCCCTCGATTCTGAATTTAACCTAACATACCGTTTGGTATAAATTAAATGAATTCTATAAGTTTTGAGGAATTCATTTGGAAATGAAATATTTTTGTGTTGGTATTTAAAAAATTCATTTTCAATTCTAAATTTTGAATTCTACGGAATTGGAACTAGTTATAGCAATTCCGAGGAATTAAGATGGAATTTCAATGAATATTTTTTTTCCCGGAAATTAATAAGGGTGTAGTTGGAGAAACTTGGAATTTAATTTAATTCTAAACCTATGCCAAACATGGTTTTGAGGATTCAATTCCTATATTTATAAAGATTTAGATATGACATACCAAATACAGGAATTCATTTAACAATGAATTCTCGATTCATTTGGTACCAAACGGAACGTAAGGTAATATCCTCAGCCGTTAATGTCATTTTGACATTTCGGAGCAAACTATAACAACGATTCACAAAACACCATAGTTATGAGATTCAGTTTGGCGTTGGATTGTACGTGGTGGTTCACTGGTTTATGAAGAAGTAGGGGTGGACATCCGATTTGGTGAAGTTGAACCCCTACCGGACTGAAAATTTCACTCACACACAAGCTTCTCGGCTTGAAATTCTTCGACTTAAGGTTAGTTGCTTAGTGATCAATTCTTACTCTTCCGAAACTGATTTCCCAACCAACTCCTAGCACAACCCTAACTTTTATGGATTTGTTCACGTAATACTTAACAGAATCACACTGTAATCGGTTCGATCTCTATCAAACTAAATTACATTCCAAATTCTATTAAGAATTTGAGCGGTTACTCAATTCAAATTGGGGTTTTGGTTTCATTTTTATTGAACATAGCAAATGCCCAGTAAAAGGACCCAAATTTTGGGACTTTTCCCCTTGTTTAAGTTTGTAGAATTTGGTCTTACATAAAGGAAAATTTTTCTTCTTGTTCTCTATTGATATCACCCAGAAATCTCTATTGATATCACCCAGAAATAAATAAAAAAGAGGAAATTTTTTATGATTAAAAGGTGTGGAAATTCAGGCCTAAAATGTGGAACTTTCATCCTTTTCCTTCTTAGGTTTGTAACCAAGTCCTCACTAATCCGAATGAAATCATGCGTTATCTAATACCTATCATTACTTTGTTTTTCCTTTTGAAGGAAGTGGTAGGGTTAGCATTGCCACAACAAACAAGTCCACAACTACAACTCTACAAGGGATGAAAAGTTGTCTCCACTATGAGCTGCACAATTAGTTATTGGAATAAGTGGCAAACTTTATGTATTAGTTTTGCTACACATCCAATTGTTGTTTCTATTTTATTCGATCGGTGGACCATTTTCGATGAAATTCTAGCTCTCCGCCGCTTACCGTGCAGGACTGTCACATACTTGTTTTTTAGATACAAAAATGGAAGTGTGTTCCACGATACCAGAAGAGGATAATTTGACCGTGTCTCATTCCTATGGGGCAGGGAATTTTGGAAAGTATGCATTAGAAATAGAATTTTAGAACCGGTCCTGCATCAGCAAAAGCATGGAGTAAAGACTAAAGAGAAACCATTTCGACATTCCAAAGAATCGGAAGACGTCAACCGGGCGGTGACCGTGGACCGGGTCGGTCAATATATATGGACTCCAATAATTCTTCATGCCAAATGTGAAATTCCATCTCAAAGGGAAACACAATTGTACTCTCATTTACATGGGACGATCTAACTCATTAGAAGAAATTAACATGACGAAATTTAAACCTATCTAATTTATACATTAATGAACAATAGAAAATTAATTGTGGATGTTGAAGGTTTCGATTGTTTTAATTGTACTTGTCTTTTAGTGATTTTATTTTTCATTTACTACAATAATAACAATACGGAGTTGTTTCACTTAGCTTTGTTTTATACTTTTCTTTTTGTATTGTATTATTCGAAATTCAGACGACACCACAAGTACTGCATGTGTATTCTATCTCTTCTGATAGATTTGTAGACTGTAGTTCTTAGTTAGGGTCCATTTCGTTTGGCTTTGTTTCGCGGGTTCGGTTAATTTGCTTTCCTGTTTGAACGCTTTCACGAAAGTTTCTCGGGCTATAGAGATCCGACTCATGGCCTAGGGGGGGTGCCTCATTGGCCGACATCCGGCTACGTTGTTCAATTTGTTGATTTCTCAGACTCTCTTCAGGATGAAGGAGTTTGTATCTTGCATGCTTCTTTCTCGTTTCGCTTACATCTTTTACTCTTCAAAGAGTTGTCACGTAGAGCTATATCCACTTAATTAGTTACAAACAAGCTCTTCCATCGATAATCTGATTGCATATGGACACTATAGTTTATCGTTCTTTCTCATTCATATATCCATCTTGTTAAATTATAATGTTATCTATCTATCTTCTATCTATCTATCTATCTATCTATCTTCTATCTATCTATCTATCTATCCTATATATTATGGCAATTCAAAAGTAACATCTTGCCACATAAGCACTTGGAGAAATAACAAGTTGCTTAGGTGGACATTTTTTTTACTAACAAAAAAATTTATTATTAATCTATTTATTAAGCTATCTCTCTCTTCTTTTAGTATTTATGCTCACTTTTACTCAACATTAATAATAAGTTACATTGAAATGTAAATAAAAACAAGCATAAATAATAACATTTTTTTTCAATTAAACAAAATATAAAGATGAAAACAAAGAATGACATATATCGAGTTTGTTTAAACAGAAAATATATGATTAAATCTTATCAAGTAAATTATCTACTCATTTTAACCAAAACTTAATAATAAGTTACATTTTGATGAACAATTTATATAAGTACACACATAAATAATAATATCTTTGTCTATTAAATAAATTATAATGACACAAAGAAACAAATTAAGCATTTGACAATCAATCAAATTTGAGAAATGAAATATATGAATTTATATATTAAACCTTCTCTTCTTTATAATATATATGTCTACCAATTAAAATATTTTTATATAAATAATTATTTCATATAATAAAATAATTGTCAAAATATAACTTGATAGAGCAATAATAATAATTTCTTAAAAACATTTCTATTCATCCGGACGAAGTGAAAACATATATTCATGTTTTACCTGAAATTTCTCAAATGAAAAGTAATCACATGTGCAATATTTTATAATTTGGTTTAAGTTCACATTAAAATATTTTATTTAGATGATTTTGGTTGAGCAAGCTCAATTGAGGTCATAAATAGTATGCTAATAAATTTTCTTTTCAGATTTAGAGTTATTGTCTAGGATTATACATCAAAGTTTTCAAAATGACTTAAGTATAAGAGTTGACGAACTTTGACTTTATAGCTTAAGACGAGACACAATATACCTTTAAAAATGACACATGTGAATGTTAAAAGAATCTTTGTTGAGAATATACGATAAATATCACATTTCATCAATTACTAACCTATGCATTGATCAAATAAAGATTGGACAATTTTTATTAATAATTGAATATCTTTTAGACAAATCAAAATTTAAGGATTGAGACAATAAATAAATATCAGTGTGTTAGTTGAGATATCTAAACAAAAAACTTTTATAGTTACAAGAATCTAAATCAAAGTATTGGATTGAAATGAAGAATCTCTAATAAGAATGAGCTTAATAAGGCGTTTGGTTATATGGTGCGAGTCTATGACTGCATGCCAACTTTTGGCAATAATAACAACTTTTCAATATCAAAGTATCAAATATGAATTTTCTATTTTGTAACAGTAAGCAATTTGTATTTACAATAAATTTGTCTATAATAAATCTGAGTATTCAAATGTGTGTGAAATGTCACAATATTTGTATGAATTCTTAAAGTTTATAAAAAAATTTAAAAAATTATAAACCATCGTTACTTAATATTATAGGTATTTAAAACTAAATTAGTGTCACATCAACGAATGGCTAGCTCTCACCCTTCCACAGTGATAAGTTCTAATTCTTGCTTATATACTTTTTTGTTTACTCTTGAAATTATCATCATTATAAATAAAACATAAATTAAGTTAATAACACGGAATGCAATATTTTGGTTTGTTCATTTCCCTTTTCTCATAAAAATTCTCTCTATAAAAATAAAGCGCAATGTTGAAAATAAGAAATTGAAAAAATTGGATCAAGCCCCATAAAAACAAACAAACGTCTCTTCTTATTTGCTCAAAATGAGATTTCTAGCATTTCTTTTCTCTACTTTTTTCAAACAGATACAAGAAAAGAAATTGTAAGGCATATTGAGTTTTTACTCTTTGAAAGAGAATACGAGAGTGGAGTTACATAAGACAATGATTAGATGGGAAACAATTGAGCAACTGTAACGTATATTTGACTATTGACTAAAAAAGTTCATCCTATCATTGCGAAGACGAATCGAATGAAGTTGATGATTGCTCATTGCTCCCTCTTCACCCTTGATCTGTAGCTGACAACTGGTCTCTTTTTCCTATAGATATGTGGTTGTTTGTGGTTGACTAGCCATATTAAACTCTTCTTTTCATTTGTTTCTTAATTTCTTCCAGATTACAATGGCTGGATCGTAAATTTCCTTGCTCAAATCAATGAATGTATTTCTCTTTCTTTTTCAGCTAGTTGTTTATGGTTCTCTATGTTGAATACATTTATGTAAACATGTAATAGATAATTGGAATGGTTTATAGCTTGGACTTAGAGTATCTCTCTTTTGGTTGAATAATTGATCATTTTACTTGCCTATTGCATCCCAATTTTGTGGATGATAAAATGGAAAGCAGAGTTGTTAGAGTTGTTTATTATGTTCATGAGTGACATGCTACTAGCTATATGAGTATGATCTGGTCAGTAAGTAAAACATAGCAGGGGTTATAAATAGAAGGGAACACATGTGAGGTTTTATAAAGGTGCGAAGAAGAAAGAAAATGGTGGTGGTAGTCTCTAAGTTGTCTATGTCGACGTTCTTTCAATTTCTACACGTTTGCAATGACATTTGTTTGTTTCCTTAGCTTGAATTTTATCTAATTGAATCCCTAACTAAAACTTGATTTTGGCCTGGTCGTTTTCTTGACAACAACTATTTGAATTGATGCATCAACCGTGTTCATGAATGAAGATTTTACAAGATACAATGAGTTGAGGTTTATTGAAGTATGCAGTTTTTACAATTCGTCTATGTTGTTATTAGGTAAAAATATACACCATAGTTTTTTAAGGGGGTATGTAGCTCTCTACAAATATAAACTGTGTTTATATGCAATTTAGTTTGCTGAAAAATATTGTTTTAATAAATTAGTGACAACTAATTGTTCTATTTTTGTTTGGTTTTGCTAGAACATTTTAAAGATAAATTAAATGAATACGCAGAAGATTGATGATGTGGATGCTAATGTGTTTTCTCATTCTTTTAAAATTGCACAAGTAACTAATAGTGCACGATGTTCGTGGGATTTAGAGCGCGATAGTATGTATTATCATACCAACATACGAGAAGGGAGAAGAAATGAAAAGTTGTTTGCTTATTTTTTTTATTAATTGAAACATATTTGCTTACTTCATTTTTTTAAACTTCTTTGTCACTATTGTGTGCTAAAACATTGATAATCTCTTATGTTTATATCCTAAATTGTGGGTTCAACACTAACTTATAAATAAATAAATAAAGGTCTACTGAGAGCTCATTTAATAAAATCAAATTTTCATAAATAAACAAAAGATATAAAAGTGTGTAACAATAGCTAAAATCAAATAAATGAGATTAATAATTCAATGTATAATAGTTTAACATACATAAATTATAAAAAACAATAGAACAAAAAATAAAACAACAATACGATTGCACCGCCCAACGGACGGATAAAAAGCTAGTACATACTACTAATTTAGGTAACTTACACGTTTGTAAACCGCGAAACGATGATGCAATTCAATTTTTTTTATGGGGGTGGGGGGGGGGGGGGCTATGCTTCTAGACGAATTTGGAAGAGTCAACTCAACTCAAATGTAGTCCCAACCCAACTCAGCAGTTTGTTGTTTCTACATAATACATTATACAAATTTGACAATACTTTATCATTAAATTGAGGACCAATTGCCTCTTTTCACCAATCAATTCATGTCTACATTTCCATATATATATATATATATATATTTGACAGCCAACCGTCCCCTATATATAAAATAGTATACAACCACGGCCATACTCGCATTTGATAAGAATTCCGAAGAAAAGTTCTTAAAGCCGCCGATCGATCGAAGGGCAAAAGCTAGCTAGCACAGTTGCTTGAAGACGTAACTATGAGGTTGGAGAAGACGATCTTGAACAGATTGAAGAAGAAGAAGCTGATGAGAGAATCCTCGACGATTACAGGCAGTGGTGGCACTAGCTCTAGCGCCAGCAGCAATAGCAGTAAGGCGGCGCCATCTTCCTCAAGTTTCTTCAAATGCTTCTCTTCTTCCTCCGATCATCATCTCCCTACCACCGACGACCAAAGCGGCGCTGGCGCCGGCGCACGACGTGCCAAATGCGGCCAAGGTATTATTTTAGAATATATGGTGAACATCAACTTTTTATTATTATTTTACAATATATGGTGAACACCATTACAGCCTGGGGAAAAAAGAAAGGAAAAAATGGCAGAAAGGAAATATACTAATACATTATACATACAAACATTGCAGCCGGATCCTGTTAGATACTACGGTCGTCAAGATTGAGAATAAAGTCATGCATATGGTAGCAAATAATATAAGCTTATAGTTTTGGGATAAAATTAATCCTCTTTCCATTAGAAAACAGTACTCTTTTTCTTCCTGTCAAATTAAAAACACGTACCGTTTTGCATTTATCAATGGAAATCCTGCAGGGAGAGGAAGAGTGGACGAGAAGGCAGTGATTTTTGAAAACGTGCAAGCGTTTACGTTCAACCAACTGGATGTGGCCACCGATCGCTTCCATCCATCCAAAAGGATCGGAGAAGGTGGTTTCGGTTCCGTTTACAAGGTACGTAGCAATAAAATGATCATTAATGTCGGCCAAACATACATTCAAACTGTTGATAGTACGTAAGTTTAAAGAGATCGAATTTGCGACGCCATAGGGTCATATGATTCTGTTAATGTCATAGCATGGGGCTCCTACTTTAGGGTTGGGGATTGTTGGCCGCGCTGAATTAGACGGTTAACCACAATTGAAACGGAATCATATTTGCCAGTTGTACCTATTACGGTTAGCGATTAACCAAAGAGTAGACCAAATGTGAAGCAAAATAAGAGCATACCTAATTACTTTCAGTACTAATATATATATATATATATATATATATATATATATGGATACGACTCGTATGCTCCCGGTACATAGCATACTCCAGGTTTTCTACACCGTCGATCTAATCGGACGTCCCCTATTAATTCTGAGAAAATTAATTATTAATTTAAAATCATAATTACTAACTCCACCCGTTAAATATTTATATATGCAAAATAACCTCCAGTAATGTTCACCGTACCTTGTTTGTTTAGACCACACTTTTGAAAACCCAGAATCTATATAGCTGAATTTCTTTTTTCTTCCTTCTCATCTTCTTCCTTCTCCTTATTCTGTACGCAACACTCCCACCACCAGAAAATCTGTTCATCTTCTAACCTTCAAAGGTTCCAAAAGATACAAGAAGCTAAGAAGTAGAACTAATTATTTGATCTCTTCATCTTCTACCTTCAAAGCTTCCAAACTATAATCATCATCTGCCTGAATCCCCTTCAAATTTCTGCGATATTTTACCTGCAACAAACAATTGGCATCCGCAGAGTCGATTTCATCGACGATGAGATGAATAACATTTGACGGACGAGTTAGGGCGACAGTTCACAAAAGTGGGCTCTCTGATTCCGAATCAAAGAAGCTCGCGTTAACGAGACTTAGCTCGTACTGAAGTAATCACCGAGAATTCGAACTACCAATCGCAAGCTTACGCCACATCCTACTCAGATCTTCTTTCCAATCTACATCCATTATTGAATTAGTGGACGCGATATCCATTTTTTTTTTGGAGTGATCAATACTTTTAAGAACCAGGCCTCGAAGCAAGAAACGAAGGCGGCCAAGTTCCTGGTGGAGGTTTCTCCGTGTGGGAGGAACCATATTAAGGCGGTGGAAGGTGGAGAGGTGATGCAACTAGTAGATTTAGCTTTGTTGACCTAGGCAGATAATTCGACAGGGGGGTGAGAATTGTGATTTGTGGAAACCGTCATTAGATCTTTCTTTTGCTCTTCCTGTTTCCTTAATTTTTGGCTCAACTACCGCCATTGAAATAAAATTTCAAGCTTTGGAGGCACTAATAGACACACAAAATCCTCCACCGGATTTAGCAATTTGGTCTCTTTTTTGGATGAATAGATTGCTTCAGAAGTTGTGATGCTAATTGGTGGTGGGATATGCTGGAGATGGATAAGGAAGAAGACGACCTGTGATGCTAATTGGGTTGAATGAAGATGGATTGCTTCATAAGTTATGAGAGTTTTTTTAGTGGAGGCTCTCGATGTACGGGGCGAAGTGGAGATCGATGTTTTTGTTAGATTAGATCAAGGTGTTTTAATATTAAAAGTAATGGTATGAATTGTTATGGGGCTATAGTGCGCGTATAAGAATTGAATGGGTGTAGTTGGTAATTATAATGATAAATGAATAGTTAATTTAATTAAAATTAATAATGTACGTTAGATTAGATCGACGGTGAAGAGAATCTGGAGTATGGCATGTACCGGGAGCATACGAGTCTGACCCATATATATATACGTCAGGTACTACTAGTGAGATATCTCTATCTAGACCATGAATTAAATCGAGTTTGAGGTATGATACTATAGCCTAACCTCTAATGGATAAACCCCAGACACCCATTTTCTAAACCCTAACCCGAAGTTTGATTAAATGAAAAACAAAAAATTGACCGTTGAGATCGGTCGGAGCTCATCTAACGGCTAGATCACCTGACGTATAGTATACGCCTCCTGACGTACACCAGTATTCACCATATATATATATATATATATATATATTTTTATTATAAACTCATTTATTAAGTTTGGAGATGTATTAATACGAGCTCTATCGATCATTTCAGGGTAGGTTAGAGGACGGGAGAACGGTGGCAATAAAAGTCCTGTCAGCGGAGTCAAGGCAAGGAGACCGGGAGTTCATGTCCGAGCTGGCAACCCTGTCCCACATCACCCACGACAACTTGGTCCACCTCATCGGCGGCTGCGTCGACGGGCCACGTCGGATGCTGGTCTACGAGTACATGGACAACGGCAACCTGGCCCAGAACCTGCTGGACAACAAGACCACACTGCTGAGCAGCTGGGAGGTGAGAAAAGGAATCGCGCTGGGGATTGCTGCGGGCCTGGCCTACTTGCACGAGGAGATCCATCCACGCATAGTCCACCGCGACATCAAGCCCACCAACATCTTACTGGACCTGGACCTCAGGCCCAAGATCTCGGACTTCGGGCTGTCCAAATTCTTCCCCGACGACATCACCCACATCACCACCCGAGTCGCCGGCACATTGTAAGACCTTTTCCGATTCAATTTACCGATGGATTTGAATCCAAAACATGAATCTAACAATTGGGTTTTCAAATTCGAGGAAGAGGGTACCTCGCGCCGGAGTACGCAATCAGCGGGCATCTGACGAGGAAGCTGGACGTGTACAGCTTCGGCGCATTGCTGCTTGAAATCGTGAGCGGGAAAAAGGTTGTGGACTTTGATCAAACACTTGGTGAGCAGTACTTCCTCGTGGAGAGGGCGTGGAAGCTCTACAAATCCGACCGACTAGTTCAACTGGTGGATCCCGTATTGATGAAGGATGACGGGAATGTCGAAGAAGCAGAGAGATTCCTCAGAGTTGCTCTGCTTTGCCTTCAGCAGAAGAGCATCCTGCGTCCCACGATGTCGGCGGCTCTGAAAATGATGAATGCGACGACGGCGTCGGATGAGGGAGGTGGCGTTGTGGTGGAGATTATGGAGCCCGGGCTGATCGGAGACTTCATGGCCGTCAAAATCGGCCGCCGCCAACAAGACAATAAGCAGCAGAGTTCCACCACTACTACGACCACAGAAGGAGCTGCCAGTGTTTTGTAATCAGCCACATCCTCACTTCGTGGCTTGTAGCTTTCTCAGAGACGATATAATTTACGTTCTATCCTTTATTATTTTGATTTTGTAGGATGACTTGTTGGTGGAGTGGGCAGGGATTGTGGGTAGTGGTTTTTCTAGCTATTTTCTTGACATTCCTCATGAGGAAAATCTTTAGTGGCTTATTATTTTGTAACGGGTGTGTTTGGTACCAAGTGTTTAGTAAAACCAAATCGACCCCGTTTATACGATCAATTCTTTTTAGCAGTAGATGTATTTCATCGCGTATTTTCAAGATAGAAATGGGAGGTTTCCTAATGTTGGACTCATAAAAGTTTCAGGTTCAAGTTTTGAGAATGTGATCATGTTGGATAAATAGAGATAATTAATTCAGCTACCATTTTTAGTTTTTGTTTGGTATGAAAAGAAGCAGGGATGAGGGGGGGGGGGGGGGAAGGAAAATGTCACTTTGGCACAAAGAAGCCTGGGTGAGAATTGGATGTAGGTATATATTGAAAACAGAATTATGATCTTGTGATTGTGATTGTGGAAAATCAGACTTGGTTTTATTGATGTACAACAATCACAAATATTAACAAATACAATGAGTGTTTGTAGCAATAGAGCAACAAAAAGTTTTTTTTTAAACCCTAAACCCAAAAAAAAAACAGAGCAACAGAAAGTTACTCACGTTCCACAGAAGTAGGAACTCAAACATAGTGGGAGAAATAAAGAAATAAAAAGGTTTTTAATTATTTACTATCTCTAATACGCCCCCACAAGACGGATGAGGCATATACGACTCCGATCTTGGATCGAAGAAGAAGGTAACGAGTGGAGGGAAGAGGCTTGGTGAGAGCAACGGCGAGTTGGTGAGCAGTGGGGATGTAAGAGACACGGAGACGACCAGCCTGAACCAGTTGACGCACAAAGTGATAATCCAAGGCAAGGTGCTTCATGCGAGAATGAAGGAGTAGGTTGGAGCTGAAGTAAGTAGCACCAAGGTTGTCAGGATACAAAGTCGGCGAAGAAGGTAGAGGTTGATGAAGCTCAACGAGTAAATTCTGAATTCATCCCAATTTGGCTGTGGCATGGGCAATGGTGTGATACTCCACCTCGGTACTAGAACGAGCCACCATGCGTTGTTTTTTAGATCGCCAGAAAATGAGAGTAGAGCCAAGATAGATAAGATAACCATAGGTAGAAGAGCGTTCATCCAGATTGTCGGCCCAATCCGAATTACCAAAGCTAGATAATGAGAGCGAGCCAGGTGAGCAACGAATAGAGAGGTCATATGTCCGGGTGCTAGAGACATAACGAAGAAGCCGCTTGACACATTGTCAATGATAAGTGGAGGGCGTGTGCATGTACTGAGACAGCTTGTTGATAGAGGAGGCAATATCTAGGCGAGTGTAGACAAGATACTGAAGAGCGTCAATAATCTGACGATAGCGCGTAACATCGGTAGGGGGCTTTCATCAGTGAGAGTGAGAGAAGTGGAGATAGTCATGGGAGTGTCAACAACCTTAGCGTCGGTAGTAAGAAAACGTTGGAGAATGTCGACCATATACTTATGCCAAGAAATAATTAACCTCGCCAAGTGCCTTGAGAGAAAATCAATGAGAGAGAGCCTGCTGAAAAACTGTGAGTGTCTCCTCATCATTTCCGGTGAGAAGTAAATCATGAACATACACCAAAAAGTAGAGGAGGGTGTGCCCCTAGGAATAAACAAACAAGGAGGCACCAGAGTGAGTCTAGGTGAAGCCAAACTCGAGGAGAAAATTACTCAAGGTAGTGTACCAGGCATGGGGAGCCTAACGGAAGCAATAGATGGCGCGACGCAGACGACAAACATGAGTGGGTTTGGACGCGTCCACAGAACTCGGAGGTTGAACCATATAGACTTCCTCTTGCAAAGGGCCCTGAAGGAATGCATTGTTAACATCAAACTGAGAAATAGACCATCCGTGAGAAAGTGGCAGGGTGAACACAATGCGAACAGTGACTGGTTGAACAACCGGACTAAAGGTATCAGTGAAGTCAACCCTGGGCCGTTATGATATCCCTTGACCACCAGCCGAGTTTTGTATCGTTCAATAGAACCATCGGAATGTGTAAACTCAGAATGATGTGATGATTGAGAGTCAGAAAACAATTTTTGCTTAAAGACTCTCTGGAATTGAACTGAAATGAAACTTTTATTCGAATGGAAAGATTCAGTACAGAGACACTTAGCCAAGCCAAATAGCTTGGCTCTTTCGAACAGAGAAAAACACTCAACAAACACTCACTCCCCAAGATTGAATCACCCAGTACAAACTTATACACCGCGATTCTATCTACCAGAGTGATGACACTCTTTGATCCAAATTGAAAGAAGTTCAAACCCAGAAGTTCTCACAATTTCCTCTCCAAAGTACACTTAAAACCCGCTGAAGAGCTTACAATTTATACCGAGAAGAAGAAGAGACCGTTGCCTAGAGAGGAGCCTTCCTATAGCCTGCATAATGCCTTTCTCATAGAGCCGGTGCGAGGTGGAGCAGTTTGCAGAAAAGATAGAGATGTTGAGAGGAGGAAGTCGAACGAGATGGCTGATCAGAAATCAGCAATCGAGGAGTCCAGTTTGACTTTGAAGGATGATTCTTAGGATAAAACGATGTCACTTTAGAAGATGGGCAAAACGTCGTCGTAGTGCTCCAGAGAGCAAGGCCGTTTTGTTCAACAGAATGATGTTTGACCCGATAAACCCGGCGATTTCCAATAACGTTGTAGTGAGGAAGACAGGGAACCAAATCCCAAGTGTAGTTGGCCAATAGGGTTGCATTCTCAGTAGAGAGGGTTGCGGACCATTCTGGATAAGTAAGGGCTTCCTGCATAGTCAGTGGGAAAAGAGGCGGAGGGCCAACAACAGGATGAATATATGAAATAAAAGTTTCTTAGGCCGAAAAATACCAGCTTGGGCTCTAGTGGTCATGGAATGAGACCGACAGACTAGTGGAGGTGGACCAAGAGAGGAGCTGGGCCGGGTGGTGGAGTAGCGGGAGAAGAGGGCTCAGAGGTGGCGGGATCTGGCAGGGGTGATGCATCTGTGGCAGGCGAGTGGGCCGGTGGAGGCCCATCCAATGAACACCAACTGCTCCCACCCCCAAAATCGAGGCCATCTCCTCACCATCTCCTGCCAAAACATTCCGACTAAAATACACTGCGGACTTAGCCAAATTAACTTTTTTTTTTGCCCACTAAGCATTTCATAATTTTGGAGGATATCCACTAGCCTCACACATTCCATCGGAGAACAACACAGAAACAAATACTAGTCGTCGGCAAAAAACAAATGGGACAAACTTGGGCATCGCGGATTAATCCGATCCGTACCCATAGACAAGGGCGGACCCAGGGGTGTTTGGGAGTGTCCCCGGACACCCCTAAATTTTGGGAAAACGATTATCCAACCCCCGGTGGTAATTTACGTATTGACAAAAAAATTATAATTGATAGTTGGGGACACCTCCTAAATTTAAAAAAGTGATTATCCTACTCTCATCTTTTAGTTTGAGTACGAGAATATAAGTGGTAGTTTGGGTAATTCAAACCTATGACACTTTTATTATTAATAAACATAATTTCCATTAGGCTACAACTCATATGTTATTCGATTTTAAACACTGTGTAATAGTATAATGTCATTCTCTATCTCTAATTATTTTCAAAATCTAACAATTAAATAAATTTCAAGCTACCCTTAATTTGTATTGATTTTCGGTTGTACGACAAGTGTTGAAAGAGTCTTTTCAGCTTTGGATTACATCAAGAACAAGTTTAGAAATCGAATATGTGATCAGTTCGTGAATGATTGTCTAGTATGATATACAGAGACAAATTTTTTTGAACAGTGTAGACCCCAAGTGTGTTTTACAATAATTTTTTAATATGAAAACACATCGTGAATTTTTTCAAGCTGTATGACTCACTACAAAAAACATGAGGTTTGGGAACGACAAAAGTCGTCCCCGGAAATAGTCAAAATCGTCCCCATAGAATTTGGGGACGACTAAGTCGTCCCTATTGTGTGGTGCCCTATACGCTTGTCCTCTATTCTTTTGGGGACGACAAAAATTTAGGTCGTCCCCAATACAAGGGACGACATTCGTCCCCGATTCTTATACGTTGGCTTCACGTTTCTTTTTATTAAAGACCACATGTCGTCTCTATAGGCATGACTTTGATGACGATGAGTCGTCCCCTAAACATAACTTTTAGGGACAATATTGTGTCCCCTTAATCCATTTCATGATAATATTGCGGTTATTTTGGGATAATAAATTGTCCCCTTTTCTTTTTATAGGCTCGACATGTCGTCCTTATAAGTGCTATATTGGAGTCAACAAATCATTCCCAAAAGGCTTATTTAAGGACATTAAGTGGTCCCTTATACGATATATTTGGAGACGAAAAATGGTTACTGTTCTGACATTTGGGGATGAAAAATTGCCCCTTAACTTGTGCTCAACGAATCATGTACACTTTTCGAGAAAGCATATCATCCCTTACCCTTGGCTCTAGAAAAACAAGGGTTAGTACTAAGAAAATATATTTGAAGATAACAAAGGCAAGATATAACATCTTGCCTCCAACTTTTATTTATCTGCAAAGAGAATAATTGGTTGTCATTAAGACTTATATACACAACTTCAACTACCAATCAATAGAAAGTTTACTCGGTTTAACACTAGAAACATGTTCAACCTCTTTGCTTTTAGCACTAGATTTGCTCGGCTTGCTCTATTGCTCTTGTTGTTAAGACAGTTTCGTAGGCTAGCTTGATCTTCCAATCTTCCAACTACCACAGAGTCCAATTATGCAAACAGTAGAAGCCACTAATCATCCTTCTGTCATGGAAATGAAGGAAAAAAGTACCACAAAGTTACATATTTAAGGGAATAAATTAAAATTCATATAGCATGCAATATAAATGTTATAAATATAATCATGTACAGTGGGTGAGAACAATATCAATTAATTTGTGCCTGTTCTTTGATTTCTCCATGAATTACATTATGAAAAAGTTTGAGCGGCATACTATACCAAACATAAGGTTGAGAGATGAGAATAACCATCAAAATATAATACTCAAGAGTACTTGCCTAGCTTCTGCTTCTCTTCCAAGTGCATGAATTCTAAATCTCCATGATCTAAGTAGCATCAATGGACTAATGATGACTCGATATTTGCACAGGTTTTCCCCTTTGTTCCTTGATCGTTTAAGCTTGCATTATTGCTTCTTTGGCCTATTTTACGCTAGGTTGTGTTCCTTTGTCACATTTCAGGTCCTAGCACATAAAGTGAAGCATAGGCGCAAGTTTCAAGTCAATCAGAGATCAATTGGCGATTCGGGAGAAGAAACTCTGGCATGACCTGAAGAAGAATGGATTTCTACCTCACTTAATGGACAAAGAATCGTGCAAGTTTGACATGGAAAGAAAGAGGACGAGACTACGAGCGTCTGGGATCAAACGGCGACTGATTCGGAGTCCGGACGAGGGAGAAACGAAGCATTGAATATAGGAGAACAGGTTCGGAAGTAAAAACACGGGCAGGAGGCCTTCAAAACACGGCCGTGTTCTGTGACCGTGCTTTTACTGCCGAGAGCAAATCCGAGTTTGGCAGACATGAGCTGATTACACGGGCGGGGCCGAGACAAAGCACGGGCGTGTTTTCCCAAAGCACGGCCGTGTTCTCCCAAAAGCACGGCCGTGTTTTCACCAACATGTGGCCGTGTAATTAACCCTAGCCAAAGCACGGGCGGGCTGAGGCAAAGCACGGCCGTGCCCTCGACAGTGCTTTGGCCAATGATGCCCTTTTAGGCAGATTTCAGCCAAATTGAGAGGGGATTCGAGTTTTAGAGAGATAGAACGATTCCTAGAGAGAGAAAGCGACGAACAAGAGTCTCCAAGCGCCCTAGATCGATCTTCAACACCATTGGAGCTTGGTTTGAGCTTGGAGAAGTGCCGATTCAACGTCCAGGAGCAGAAATCCATCTTCACAGTATGATTTCCGCGTCTGATTCTGCTTTTGCTTCTCTCTCCATGGAGTAGTTCTCCCATTCATCTGGGTGTGGGAAACCCTAGTTCTGTATGTTGAGATTGATTGTATGAACCCAAGTACTGATTCTGTGATTGATTATATTCGATTGAGGTTTTATGATTGAATGACTTGAATCCTGATCAAATTCCTGTTGTTTCTGCTTTAACCTAGAATGAGAATATCTGCCTAGGTTAATAGAGTATCCTTGATTGAAGGTAGGGAGTTGGTGACTTTAGTCGAGGAGCCAACTCACTATTCTGTACCGGATTTACTCCGGTAGTGGAGGTTTTGTTCTTAGGGCCTCAATCTGTCGACTCCGGTGGAGGTTAGTCGCCCCCTAGAGAGTCAGATTGAGAGGGTCTGAAGACCTTTAGTCGAGACTTCAGGCTGTTTAAGAACCTTCCGCAGTATAATCCTCATAGAAACTGAACTTGGTAATTACAATCCGGCTTAACTGCAGACTAGGGGGAACCATATCCGGGTGACCTCTTTAACCTGAATACAACCAGTTTACTTGCTTTGTTTGTTTGGTAGTTTAGACTTGCACTCCAGTTTTATTGCTAGATAACAAGAACTCATTGAGTAGTCAGCAAATCTAGGACCCGGGTTGACATTGAAACCCAAACCCGCTATACTACGCTTTAGGAAGTGGTTACACTTGGCCATTTTCTAGGGTGACAGTAGAGTCGAGTCAAGTTTTTGGCGCCGTTGCCGGGGACGGCTAGGTTGTTGAAGAAAAGTGATTTCTGTTACTCTAGCTTTTCTTTTCGCTTTGTTTGCTTTGTTCCACTTGTGCCTTCACGGGTTTGCTTGCTTGAGTGTGTGCAGATAGTGCATGACCCGTAGCCAGTCAGGAGGTTTATTGCCGTTGGATCCAGAGCTTGAACGCACTTGCCGCCAACTTAGGAGACAGCAGCGAGCTAGACTGGCTACGGGAGAGCGCATAGACGGCCACTTGACCAGCGATTCTGAGGAAGAGTACGAGATGGAGGGCGAAGACATCCCACAACCGGGGAATGCTCGAAAGGCTCCCCCGGTGAATCAGCATCCACCACTACCGCCGGGTCCCACTTTGGAGTACTACTACACTCCACGGATTGCTGACATCTGCCCGGTCATCCTCTATCCACCCATCCCAGCAAATAACTTCGAGATCAAGCCAGGATGGATTCAGCTCATCACATCCTCTATCCAGTTCCATGGCTTGAAGGATGAGGAAGCCCGGGCACACCTTTCCCGTTTTCTGCAGCTGACGAACGGGTTCAAGCTGAATGGTGTTCCGGATGAGGCAATCCGCCTTCACCTCTTCCCCCATTCTCTGGCGGGGAATGCTAAGAGGTGGTTGGAGACCCAGCCCCCACTGTCCATCACTTCTTGGGACGATCTGGCGGATAAGTTCGTGCACAGATATTATCCGGCATCGAAGACTACTGAGATTCAGCGGGAGATCACTCATTTCCGCCAAGAGCCAGATGAGTCCCTTCGTGATGCATGGGAGCGGTACATGGGATACTTCTGGCAGTGTCCCCATCATGGCTTCAACGATGCTTTCACAGTGGGGAACTTCTACAGTGCCATCACCCCAGACAGCCAGAGGGTGATCGAGTCTCTATGCCCAGGAGGGGATATCCTTACTAAGACTCCACCCGAGCTGAACCAGATGATCAGTACCTTGGCTGCCCGCGATCATTCCTGGGGGCAGAGCAGCAGAGGCAGGCACTCCCGGGACCGTGGTGTGCATGCTATGGAGGCCAGATCCGGGTTAGAGCAGCAGGTGGCTGAGTTGGTGCAGACACTGAAGCAGCCTAACAGTCTCCTTCCGGGCCGAGGTGTAGCTGCGCCTCCAGTAGCTCAGTGTCAGTGGTGTGAGAGTCCAAACCATCTGGTGGAGGACTGCCAGGCTATGCGGGAGTCCTCTACTCCCCAAGAACAGTTGGCCTTCATCGCCAATGCTCGGCGCCTCGATCCATACAGTAGCACATACAATGAGGGATGGCGCCAGCATCCCAACTTCGCCTGGAGCAACAACACCAGTAAACCACCTGGTTTCCCAGCACCAGCAGGTGGTTTCCAGCAGAGGCAGCCTTTCCAGGCTAGGCAAGGGCAGCCATTCCAGCAGCCTCAGCGTCAGTATGCCGAGCCCGCAGCAGCGCCAGCTCCCGATACTCAGATATCCGAGCTGAAGAACGTTTTGGCGGCATTCATGACCACCAGCCAGGCGACTATCGCGAGGATGGATCAGTCCATAGCTTCCCTGGAGGCTGGCCAGCGAACCCTGGAGGCAGGCCAGAGGAACCAGGGTGCCATTCTGCAGGATCTCCAGCACCAGATAGGGGACTTAGCTCGCCAGAATACTACCAGGGCACCGGGGACTCTGCCTGCCACCACTGTCCCCAATCCTCGCGGCCCTCACGAGACTGTCCATGCCATTTTCACCAGGAGCGGCAGGCCTACATCAGCTGATCCTGCCCCGACCAGGCAGGAGGAACCACTACCTGCTTCAGCACTTCCAGCCGGTGATGCAGAAGTGCGGGTGGAGAAGGAAGCCCCTGCTCCCAAGCCACAACCAGTGGTGAAGGAGCACGTACCCCAGCTTCCCTTCCCCACTCGCCTCCATAAAGATAAGCTGGAGACTGAGTTTGCCAAGTTCATGGCAATGTTGAAGCAGCTCAACATCAGCGTACCATTTGTGGAGGCACTGTCGAAGATGCCCAAGTACGCGAAGTTCATGAAAGATCTCTGCACCAACAAGAAGAAACTTGGGGATCTTTCGACAGTGCTGCTGAGCGAGGAATGTTCTGCCATCCTGCAGAACAAGCTGCCCGAAAAGCGCAAGGATCCAGGGAGTTTTACTATCCCTCTTACTATTGGCAGCATGCATGTAGGAAAGTCCTTGGCGGACCTAGGAGCTAGCATTAATGTCATGCCATATAAATTGTTCAAAAAGCTAGACCTAGGTGAACTTAGCCCTACTAGGATGAGCATTCAGCTAGCTGATCGTTCTATGGTGCATCCTAGGGGTATCATAGAGGATTTGCTTGTTAATGTGGGTGCATTCACATATCCTGTTGATTTTGTTATTCTGGATATAAATGATGATGTGGATGTGCCTTTGATTCTGGGTAGACCATTTCTTGCCACCGCCAAGGCATTGATTGATGTGCATGATGGTAAGCTGATTCTGCGTGCTGGGGATGAACAGGCTACTTTTTCTGTGACTGAGTTTGATCACTGTGCTATGATTGCTGTCACCCCTGTGCATCCTATTTCTGATCAGGTACACGAGCCTGTCGTGTATCCTTCTGCACCTCTCATTTTGCAGGACCCTCCTATCATTCCTTCGCCGCCACTCCATCCAGCCTCGCCTCCGAACAAAAAGCTCAAGGAGGAGTGGCGGCCGACGCCGCAGGTGGCTAAGCCTGTACGGAAGAAGAGTGGAGACCACTATGAGCTGGTCCCACCCCCAACACCACGACCACCCTGGCCATCCGAGTACTCACTCGCCTGCATCTTGCCGGATGGCCAGGTCGAGCTGACCGATGCTGGTGGTTGTAACCGTCGAGTGCACGGTCACCACCTGAAGCTGTACCTCAAGAGCGATGTGGATCCGCTCTTGGAGGCACCTGTTCCTGCACCTCCCTGAGTATCCACCATGGGCGTCCAGCTAAAAGACGGTAAAGAAGCGCTTGTGGGGAGGCAACCCCACCACGGTTTGACTTTCTTTCTTATGTTTCGAGTCGGATTGCGATTTGGTTTTGTTTTGGTTTGTTTCCTTTGTTCTGGATGATGTCTTATTGGGCTGACATCGGACCTAACACATTCTGGTTGAGCTCTTCTATTCCCTTTGAGCTGAGATGCGTTCCCGACTGGTCCATTTCCAGTCTCCTGCAGTCCGTGCATACCGGTAACATCGTTCCCCTTTCCTTCCCTCTTCTCCATTGAGGGCAATGTCGATCTTAAGTGTGGGGGGATGTTTATCTTTTGACTGCATTAGATCTGTTTGTGTGCTTGGAGCCTAGTCCACTGTCCAAATTTTTGAATTTGAGGGCTCCAAGTACGTGTTCCTTGCAATTACCTGCTCAGTATGCTTTGAATTGACAGTCTCTGTAGTGATTTTCAACCTAGGGAGGTAGTGTAGCACTATGGAGGATGTTGATGCATTTAAGACGTCTCATTTCGTCTTCATAGTGTGTTGGTTGATTGAGTGAACTAGTGATCTTAGGACCCTTGAATTGTGTGGTGTTGTGGACTCTCTGCCTGTCATGGACTCTTGTATCATGTTTTGAAAATAACAGGTGCTCGAAAATGTGCTTTAAAATGACGTCTCCCGTGCGAATAGGGCGAAAGTGTGCAAGGGGAGACGGGAATCCGTTCCCAATTTCCACCTACTACCTCCAGCCCCCTTACATGTCTTTCCCCCGCACGAGGCTCGAGACAACTGCTCCTGGCATGGCCGGTAAGAGCCGGGCTCCCGCAAAACCTTTGCTAGGTGGGAGCCCCCGTTTTCTGCAAAAACAGGTTGGAACCCTTGAAAAAAAAAAGAGAAAAAAAAACAGAAAAACAAGCAAAAAGAAGAAAGAAAAGGGGTTCCAACCATCTTCAAGAAGAAAATCGAGCACCTTGAAAAATGTGAGTCCATGATCTTTTGTTTTTGAGAGTCTCTTCATCCACGATTCATTTGTCCTCTGTTCACTATTTGCCATGATGCCGACTCGAGACTAGCGTTCTCGCTGAAGAGGCTATGAGATGACTTGTGCGTCGGTTGACCTCGTAAGCTGCTAAATGATCTAGGAAGTCCGCTACCTACGATCGAGGTTGTTTGTTGCTATAGAGGTCTGGAGAGTTGCATTGGTTTGAGTTAGGTTTGCTTGGGGACAAGCAAACGGTTAAGTGTGGGGGGATTTGATGACTCGATATTTGCACAGGTTTTCCCCTTTGTTCCTTGATCGTTTAAGCTTGCATTATTGCTTCTTTGGCCTATTTTACGCTAGGTTGTGTTCCTTTGTCACATTTCAGGTCCTAGCACATAAAGTGAAGCATAGGCGCAAGTTTCAAGTCAATCAGAGATCAATTGGCGATTCGGGAGAAGAAACTCTGGCATGACCTGAAGAAGAATGGATTTCTACCTCACTTAATGGACAAAGAATCGTGCAAGTTTGACATGGAAAGAAAGAGGACGAGACTACGAGCGTCTGGGATCAAACGGCGACTGATTCGGAGTCCGGACGAGGGAGAAACGAAGCATTGAATATAGGAGAACAGGTTCGGAAGTAAAAACACGGGCAGGAGGCCTTCAAAACACGGCCGTGTTCTGTGACCGTGCTTTTACTGCCGAGAGCAAATCCGAGTTTGGCAGACATGAGCTGATTACACGGGCGGGGCCGAGACAAAGCACGGGCGTGTTTTCCCAAAGCACGGCCGTGTTCTCCCAAAAGCACGGCCGTGTTTTCACCAACATGTGGCCGTGTAATTAACCCTAGCCAAAGCACGGGCGGGCTGAGGCAAAGCACGGCCGTGCCCTCGACAGTGCTTTGGCCAATGATGCCCTTTTAGGCAGATTTCAGCCAAATTGAGAGGGGATTCGAGTTTTAGAGAGATAGAACGATTCCTAGAGAGAGAAAGCGACGAACAAGAGTCTCCAAGCGCCCTAGATCGATCTTCAACACCATTGGAGCTTGGTTTGAGCTTGGAGAAGTGCCGATTCAACGTCCAGGAGCAGAAATCCATCTTCACAGTATGATTTCCGCGTCTGATTCTGCTTTTGCTTCTCTCTCCATGGAGTAGTTCTCCCATTCATCTGGGTGTGGGAAACCCTAGTTCTGTATGTTGAGATTGATTGTATGAACCCAAGTACTGATTCTGTGATTGATTATATTCGATTGAGGTTTTATGATTGAATGACTTGAATCCTGATCAAATTCCTGTTGTTTCTGCTTTAACCTAGAATGAGAATATCTGCCTAGGTTAATAGAGTATCCTTGATTGAAGGTAGGGAGTTGGTGACTTTAGTCGAGGAGCCAACTCACTATTCTGTACCGGATTTACTCCGGTAGTGGAGGTTTTGTTCTTAGGGCCTCAATCTGTCGACTCCGGTGGAGGTTAGTCGCCCGCTAGAGAGTCAGATTGAGAGGGTCTGAAGACCTTTAGTCGAGACTTCAGGCTGTTTAAGAACCTTCCGCAGTATAATCCTCATAGAAACTGAACTTGGTAATTACAATCCGGCTTAACTGCAGACTAGGGGGAACCATATCCGGGTGACCTCTTTAACCTGAATACAACCAGTTTACTTGCTTTGTTTGTTTGGTAGTTTAGACTTGCACTCCAGTTTTATTGCTAGATAACAAGAACTCATTGAGTAGTCAGCAAATCTAGGACCCGGGTTGACATTGAAACCCAAACCCGCTATACTACGCTTTAGGAAGTGGTTACACTTGGCCATTTTCTAGGGTGACAGTAGAGTCGAGTCAACTAACAATTAGTCGGGACTCAGTGGTTGAACAATAAAAAATCATATAGCATGCAAGGAAATAAGAGTTGGGATAAAAGCATCCAGAAAATAAGTCGCTACAATTCAAACACGTACGTTTTAAACATCTAGATATAATACCACTTTCATAAGTCTCATAATTGAGTTTTCCTACTGCTATGTTTTGTTTTGCTCTGCTTGTTTCTATTTGGCTGCCTTATCATTCCCAGACCTCTACTGCTCTACCTTAGCTAGGGATGGAATTTTAATTTGACTTCAATGAGATCAGTTATGCACTTTACAATTCACCTCCAGAATTTATTTTAGATTACTCACCCTTATTGAGTAGTTCGTGATTAAGAAACCAGGAGCTGCCAGACTTCTGAGTTTTCTCAAGAGAGCAACCCAAATAGTAGAGTTTATCCCTGAAACGACAGCACAATTAAAAAACAGAGCAGAACTTAGAACCATTCAGCATCAATATACCAGAATCAATCATTTAAACCCTTCTCTCAAATAGTATAAACCATCCAATTATTTCACAATCACGGCACGATTGCTTACCACTATGAATTTTTCTTAGCATTAAACAGAAAATGATGAAGTTGATAACTCTTATATACAATTAACATACAGAGATAGAATTCTAGATAGTATACCGCAAATCCTTTTCCCTAATATTATCCATGAAGCAAACAAGATGCAAAAATTAAACTAGATAAAAAAGGCAGCTAAGTCTACCAAACATCGGAATCCATAACTAGCCACCTATCAAATCAATAAAGAAGTGGAGAATGAAAGAAAATTGAACTCAATGTGGAAGGGACGACCTGTGCTCCCGGTGCCAATTCTCTTCGTTTGCCCTTACATATTGATTCATACGGGAAGCAAAAGAATAGAAACTATAATCCAGCAAAATCGTATAAAGCCAATAAGGAATAGCAAGACATAGATACAGAATGTAGATGGAGATCGCCGCTGCAAGTATTCGACTTCCTCAGTTCCTCTACGTAGGGTTTTTTTTATTGGTTTTTGCCAGAGCTCTACATAGGGTTAGGGAAACGAATGAATAAAAGGAGGGTGATTTGCACTTGATTAGGACTTGTAGAGTGCGGGTCAACTCCCATAATTCTATTCTTAACATAGAAGGAATTTTACAAAATCAAATTCTTAATTATTTTCATAACCCGGGAGAATAATCCGCCCAAAACCATTTTCTCATGGACGGGGACGACTTCAAATATGTCATATCCATGTTTGATACACTTTAAGGACAACTTTGTTAATTCGTCTCCTATTCCACTACAATTAGATTTTTCGGAGACCAGTTTAAAGACTTGTCCCCTATGTTTGTCCCTTAAACTCCTTAATTTTGTAGTGACTGTACGAGTAAGGTATTTCTTATTTAAATATTATTTATTAATTATTTCAGAATTATTTGTATTTAATTTATTTTTTAAAAGAGGACACTCCTATGTAAAATTTCTGGGTCCGCCACTACCCATAGATAAACATAATGAACGTAATAACAATAATCTTACAAAATGGTTAGATATCGAAATGGAGTACTTGTAAATTAAGGGGGGTGCTGTATATATAATGAGACAAAATGGTTAGATATATCGAATCTGATCCGAATATAACATATCATGGTAGCTAGCTAGTGCAGATCGAAGAGATGAGAGATCCAGCACAGCACAGACAGGCAGAGAGAGTGCACTGCATGGGACGACAACGATGACGAAGACAAGAGATGGAGCATCTTTTTGTTTGCTATCTATATATAATGACACAACAAAAGTTTGCAGAAATAATAAGAAAATTGAAATGATCGATTCTGCTGCTGCTGCTGCTGATCGAGATAAATGAGTCAGTTGTACTGCAGAAGAAGGAAGAAGAGATAGCTACGTCGCTTGTGACCAGAGGTTGTATATATGAAATGTCCTTCGGACAACCCCATTCTCTCCCTAGAATTAGAATATTTTATTTTGGATTTTGGTGCACTAGAATTAGAATAGAGAATCACAATCATATCATGCACAGTGATGATAATTAGTGTCTGCAAGTTGGGAAGGGAATATATAGCCTATGTTTGGCCCCGGCTTTTAGAACTGTTTTTTTTTACTTCAAAAGGTGAAGTATAGCCAAACACCTCTAAAATGTCGGCTATTGAAAAGTCGAAAAAACGCTTTGGTATAACATAAAAGCAGAAGCTCCGATTTGGAGCTTCTGCGAAAAGCTGTTTTGTATAAATACAAGATTATCCTTACAATATTTTAATTTTATTTCGAAAAATATAATTTTCCTTCATTTATATCATTTTAAAAATACAATAAATTATAAAATCATATTATTTAATATAAAAAAATCTAACTAGATCCATTTTGGCTATTTTTTATTGTTTAGAATTTTTATTCATATTTTATATTATAAGTCCTTTATAGTCATTTTACACAACCTCTCATATTAAAAAGAACTTCTAATAGTTTTACAGCCAAACACTCAACTGCTTTTTTTTTTATAAATTGAAAGAAATAAAACCACCAACAACCCGATCACTGTAGCATCAGACTACTTTTACTGTAGCTTTAGACTCAGTTTTACTGTTACAGCTTGGCTTGGGCTATGGTGTGGGCGGGTACAGGTGAGCTTTGGTTCTGTTTGTATGTGTACAGGAGTTTTCTGGTTGGCTTTGAATGGAGTTTCAGAGTTTGGTTCGCCTTAGCCACTCTCTCAACCCTTTCTCGCGTTGATCATGTGGAAACCTGAATCTATAATTTGATCTTTGGGTGGGTCTGTTAGATATAGGGAGAGGTGAGTGGAGTGAGATATTTTTTCCCGTTGTTCGAGGCCGTAAAGGCTCCTCATTGGCTGAATTTTATTTCAGTTGCCTGAGGTTCCACGTGGGTTCATTATACTTGGATTGGATGTAAGCAGAGCCACGTCGCCGCCTGGGTTCTTGGATCCGTCTCTTGCACCCAAAAACAAATACGGACTCATTTTGGTCCACTCTTTCTACCTACCCGGCCCAGTCTCGACTGACAGAAAGCGATCAAGACTCTTTGATCTGTCTCATCCTCCCAACTTTCCTTCCTCTCTCTATCATTTTTCTCTCTTAAATGGTTTTTCTAGGCTCCCTTCTTACGATGGGCGGAGTTGGTCGAGATAAAAAATAGATCCAGATACTCAAGTTCTGTCTTCGATTCAGGTGATTCCTCCTCCTCTATTTAATATTTTTGTTTCACTTTTGTAGTTTCATTCATCATCATCAACCTCTCTGATGAAGAAAAGGATCCGATACTTTGCATCAGATTCAAAGCTCTGCTTTTTTGGTATGACATGAGTTCCTTTGTAATTTTTATTATTCATGAATCTATTTTCTTTGGTTCTCGTGTGAGGTTTTCTTTAGTTCTGATTTTTATTCTTTTCTCCTCGATGAGCATGTGCAAGCTCTTTTCTGGCGGCGGCAGACTCTTCTATTCCCCAAATTTCACTCGACGGGGACCTCATGGTGGGAAGAGAGAGGATCTGATGTTGATGGGAAACGAAAGTCCCGAGGTATCCGAAAGACCGAAACACTGTTGGCCCGAGTCCCTCCTGATCGGCTTTTCTGAAGACGGTGGAGATTAGTTGACCTTTGGCGACGATTTGAACCATGAAGAACTCGATGTTTCTGTTCAATCCAGAGGGCGGCATCATGGATGCTACTTGGTACGAAGATCAACAATCATTGTTGTCTGTGGGTCATTGGGTTCTCCAAATGGTGAGTGCTTTGAAATCCTGTTATATGCATGTGTTGTGTTGGTTAGATAAGATATTTGTGCATCATTTAAATCATTTTGGTTTGCGGGGGCCTTTGGTGGTTAGATATTTTGTTTGCTGAGTTGTGAAGGGGTTAAATCATAAATAAATGGTTAATGAAGTTAGGCTCTTAAATCTTCGAAATCTCAAAGATCTTCAAGTTCTGGATTAGTATTTGATGATTGGTTCTCGCTATTTAACATGCTCTATTTTTCTCAAATAGGCCCTTCTTTACAGATGGGGTTGGTCATCATTTTGGCAGGCTTAAACAAGATCCATGAGAAAGGGAACAAGCGGAGGAATTCTCAGGACCTGTAAGTCTCAAAGCAGGCTATCTTTCTCTCTATCTCCCCTGTTATCAATCCCAGTTTTTATCATTCTAATATTTATCTTTGTTTGTTCTGTTGAGGATGATGTTGTGTGAGGAAGTTGAGCATCGAGCTTAACTTTGAAATCTTTGATGTTTCATGGATTGATGATACAGACCAAAATTGGTCAATCTGTTGGGAGGTCAGTTTCGTGTTCTTGCCCTTTTTGACTTCTCTTATTATTTTGTATGATTCTATTGGTTTTAATTTTTCCACATCACGCCTACGGATGTATATGAAAGGTATTCCGTTCCGTTGTCAACAACTTATTACCCTTCCATTTTATATTAGTAGACGAGCATTGTTACTGCTTGCACAACAATATGGCTTCTTTTTGGGGGCGATGTATCATTTGGCACTAATTTTGATTTGTGGATGTGAATCCAGGTTACTGGATGCTAGAGATTATGGTTCTACTTTTTATCAACATAAATTATATATTTGATATACTCGCTGTCTTGCTTGCAATTCAAATTGCGAAACTGTCAAGAAGTAAGGAATGCTTACACTGAAGAAGTCATATGGGTAGACAGGGTAGTTTAGTTACATCAGCATAGCTCTCCCTGTCGTTCAAAATCTGAAATGCGAGTTGGTTTGACGTTCAAGTTTAGTGTTCTGCATTCAGTGCTGGGACCCACTAGGCTCTTCCATACTTCAGTGCAGTTGTAAGCTTGCGAGTTTTTTCTGGTGAATTATTTATGTTTATTTTTATCTTCACATCTATTATATATTTAACGAATTTAACTTTCGCTTTTTTTTTTGGATTGTTAACATTGGTTTTCCTACAGGCAACTAGAATGCCACATCATGATACAGAGAGTTCTTAATCATATATATAAAGTTATAAAGTTCCAACCATGTTTTGTTCCACTGAGAGTGATATTGTATTATTGTTCTTAAGAATGTATGTGCCCCATTAAACGTATATGATGAATACAAACTTATATGTTAATTATTCCACACATCCCGGTGCGAAGCGCGGGCACCAAAAACTAGTATTCTTTAAAAGCTCAAGCCATAAACGGTTTGTGCAAAAGCTACAGCATGTCCAAACTAGCCCATAATTAGTTAATTACCACTTAACGGAAGCATTCGCAGGCTAGCTAGCTAGCTTTGTCCTTTTTTTAATCTTCCACTATGCACGCGCATTAATTAGCCGTAATGTAATTATGATTGATGAAAGACAAGCTAGGGTGGAGGTGGAGGAAAGTAAGCAATGGAGGAAAACCAGAACACAACCCTAAATTCTGAAAAGGGCCGATGAACATTTTGTAATGCAGTCTGGGACCACAGTAAGTCAGTCCGGAGAACCACCTTGCGACGGGAGGAAATATGTACATATCGTAGTTGGATGTCGGTGAGATCGTAATACTAGTTAAATGATGAATTTAGTTGTCCTCGTGTTAATTCCGCTTCTTCCACCAAATACACTTTTCGTTGAAGCTTGCTAGCTTCCTTTTAATTTTCCTAGTAATGAGTTATCTGAGAAAGATGTCTTAGCGATTTTGAACCTCAGCTAGATTACTATAGGTTGACTGGAAGTTATCTAAAACTACATAGGAATGTTGACGTATCTTAGGATCATGGTCATTGAAAAAAGTAACTTAATGTTTTTGCTACCCCAAGACTCCATCGCACATGTTGAAAGGACATTTGCAATGAGCTACATGAAAAATACTCTTTAATATTGTTTCATTGACAAAATCGCGAATTATATGATAAGATATATTTAGATTAATACCATATGAATGTATTTGCCAAGTTTGATATGAGAAATACGTTGTGGACATTGTAAATGGTCTAAATTGTGCTTAGAATATTTATAAATAAAAAACTTCAGATCCACCTTATACAAAAAAATTTGGCTACACCACTTCCACGGTTAGATATATTGAAGAAGAAAAAAGTACTGTGGGGGGGTTTGCTGCTGCAGGCCAGCAGGTATGAATTTTTTATATATATATTAACAGCATAAATTAAATAACAAATTAGTGAAAGTGAGAGTGTTGAGGGTTACCTTAATTATCTGGATCGATCTAGCTAATAGTTGTCGATCTGAACTCAGGCCCAGAAACACAGTGTTGAGACAAATACAAAAATAGAGCGAAGGAGTATTGTGGTGGTGGATGAAGTGAAGTGATGAAGGATTGATGATATGATATGATATGCATGGCTCCTCATACGCCATCCACGGAGGCCATCGATTCATCCGGTGGAGCTCTCTCCGCAAATGGCATACAGGGAGCCAGGCATGCATCCATCTCGGAATATATATACTTACCAACATTACAACACCATTAATTAATGTCGGGAAAATGATTCGTTGATTCGCTTACCACCTTTCCTGTACACACTCCTCGATCGTTGCAGTTATTATGAAAACAGATCCAACCGACGGAAGACGCCCTAAAAAACTAAAAAAAAAAAACGGATCAACAATCGTTCCGATCGATATGGGAGCTGAAGGGGAATTGCACTCATCTAAGCGAGTTTGATGAGCAAAAAGACCGGTGATGGAGAAATGAACAGACGAGACAGATCGATGGAGGCACGAAATGGAAACCAGGTAAAAAAACACAAAAGTAGCAATAAGTAGTAGTAGTAGTAGTAGTTTTGAGTGGTTTCAGAATTCAAAGGTGTATCTCACAGCTCCTTGAGAATTGCCACAAAAAACGAGTGAAATCATATTCGCATATGCTTTCTATGGCTTCCTATGAAAGAGCTAGGTTATAACTTATATACCTAATCAGATATAGCCCTTCCTATTCCTTCTCTCTCCTCTCCTTGTTTCTCTCTCCACCATGACCAAAAAAATACTATACTCCTTGGCTACTACCCAAAACCAAAGGAAAGAAAGCCAAGAAGAAGAAGAAGAAGAAGGGGAAGGTTAGTTAGGGTTAGGAACATATATAAGAAAGTGTATATGTGTGTATAGACCCAACCCACAACCACCAAAATGCAAAAGATGCAAGAAGAAGAGAAAGGAAAAGATGATAAGGAAATGTTTAGGAAGAGCAGGTGGGAAAAATATCAACATGATCAGGTTCCAAGTAGCTAGTATCAGCAGTGGAATGATGAACACAACAGTGAGATGAATGATGGGCAAAGCAATTCATCACTTCCCCTACCTAGCTAGCTAGCTAGCTTTTACCCTAAACCTAGAAATATGAAAAAGAACAACTTCCTTTCTTCTGACAGAATGTGAATGCAATTTCCCCATCTTTCTTTCTCATGGGGTGGTGACTGGTGAGGGCTCGGGGGGAAGGGAAAAGCAAAGCAAAGCAAAACCCTTTTTGGCTTTCCCTTCTCTGCTCTCCAGTCTCTTCTCTTTTTCATTTTTGTCTGCAAGTGCTTGGAACCACATGGTCGTGGATTCTTTCTTTCTCTCCCCCAACCTCTCCTTTTCTTTTCTTCGTCGTCCCTCTTTTCCTCTTGAAATGAACAAAAAAAAAAAAAAAAGCCTAACAACAATAATGAACAGCTTCTCCAGAACCTCATCTTGTGGACTTTAAACGTACCATACCGGCAGTTCAATCATAAAATACCAGTATTGAAGGCTAAACCGGTAGGCGGTATTTAACGATCTAATGGTTGAACTACGGTTAAACTAGGGGTGGCACTTCGGTTACCGGTTATCGGTTAACCGGCCGGTTAAACCGATAACTGGCCGATTATCCACTAACCGTTAACCGAAGTAACCGAACTTCAGTCGGTTATCGGAGGCTGGACAAAATGGTATTTGGTCTTAAAAGTGGTTCGGTTAACCGATCACTGAGATAATCGAGAAACCAAAGCCTATTTCAGGCGGTTTTCGGTAGGGGGAGTGGTTATTTTGGTTAACCGATACCCGGCCGATCGATTACCGGTTATAACCGAAATAACCGAACTGCCACCCCTAGGTTAAACCACGGGTTTTATCATAAAATATCATACCGCTGACTTTTCCGATACGATATCGGGTACGATTTCATGGACCATGCTTTCAAGACTTGGGTTCAACTGAAACTAAATCAAATCTAAATGTTCCTAATTTCACTGATAAATGAAGTTTTATGTCAGTCATTACCACCACCTTTTGATTTAATTATATTGTTGAAAAATCCTACAAAACTCTAACATTATGTACATTCTTCTTTTACCACACATTATATGTCATTTGCATTTGGTTTATTGACCTAAGTTTCTTTTTAAAATAGTTCTTTTCAGGATAATTAAATTATTTTTAACTAAATAATAATTCATATATAGCATTTAGCCCAAGTTGCAGATCCAAATCCATATCGAAACAAACTCATAATTAAAGCTCGTCCCTTCCATTGGGTTCTGCATTTATCTAGCGAAAATAGCCCATTCACAGTTGGGCCTAGACCCCACTTGATTCAGCCCACAAATACTTGAAAGTCCAAAACTAGTCCCTAACCTAGGCCCATATTCATACAAGCTCGGTTTCACTATTCATGTCCAATTGAAATTAATCCCTAAAGTTGCGGCCCAGTAGTCGCAAACCATACTGTTCGACCGTAAAAATAATCTATCCGTACTCGACAGACGATTTTTAACGGTATCAAATGGTTGCACCACGGATCAATACAATTATACAAAGTAAAATCCTACCGCTAACTTTCACATCACAACTTGCGGTACAGTTTCACAATACATCCTGACTAACTATACCACCCTCAAATCCCGGTAACACCAATTTCTGTATCAGGCTAATGTTATTACCTTATTATGAAACTGGAGCCACCAGGAGAATATGGTTTTGTTACTTTTGTATACAGAACAGAAAATAACAACAGTTTTACATGGAAAATGGCTCACAGAAAGAATGTACTGAATTCAATGCTCCAGTGCAAAGAAATCACGTTCTCAAAATATCAACCTCAAATCTCACAATTTCATCCAACAACTTTGATAAACAGGACATGTCAGCCCGTTCACTTGGATTCTTCCTGAGAGCAGCCTCGGCAACATCTGCAAGTTTGAGCAGAGGCTCCACATTCTTCGGCAGAGCTACATTCCTGTCTATAATGGCGGCCGACTTCCCCGATCGAATCAAAGGCAAAGCCCACTCCACAATACCAGGAGGGTTACACTCCGTATCATAAGCCTTCCTCCCACTCAATATCTCCAGCACCACAATGCCGAAGCTGTACACGTCGTCCTGTTCGGACATTGGATTCTCGCTGCTCGAGTTCGAGAATCCAATGTCCGCGATCCTCGCCCCCCACTCCGAATCCAGCAACACTTTCGACGTCGTCAAGTTGCCATGAACTATGCTGACTGCAGCTGCCATGGTGTCGTCGTTGTCGCCGCCTTTGTGCATGTACTCGAGGGCACGCGACATCTGCAGAGCGATTCGGAGCCTCGAGCTCCAATCAAGCGGAGAGAGCTCCCCATGGAGATGGTCGTGGAGCGTCCCGTGTGGGATGTACTCGTAGACCAGCAGCCTCTCCCCCATCTCAGCGCAGTAGCCCAACAGGTTCACTATGTTGCTGTGTCTCAACCTGCACAGGATCTCGAGCTCCGATTCGAATTCTCGGTTGTTGGTGTGGATTATGGTGGCGGCGTTGGCTCTCTTCACCACGACGTGTCTTCCATCGGACAGCACGGCCTTGTAGACGAACCCAAAGCTTCCCCTGCCTAGCTCGTTGAACTCCTTGAAGCCATGGGTGGCATCTTTGAGCTCGGAAAGCCGGAACACTTGAGCCTCTCCAACATACGAGCCCGTAGAAAGAACAACGGAGAGTGGATCAGAGTCAGGATTCGCCTGCACCACTACAGGCTTGCTTATGCAGAACATGTAGCAGCAGTTCCTCTTCTTCTTTCCATCCTTGGTACCTCTTCTGAGCTGGAAAATGAGACAACACGAAGCGAGGAGTAACAAGCAAGCAAGCAGTGGGATGGCAATGATGATAACAAGTTTCTTGATCTGCTTCCGCTCCTGCTGTGAAGTCACTTCTGGTGAAGATGGTTGGCCGCAGATGTCCCAACAAGAGCTGTTCTGGCAGAGCGAGCAAGCAGTGCATAACCTGTCAGCATTCTCTGTACACAGGCTGGAAGGGAAATAGCCATGTGAACAGCTTGTGCCACAAGGCAGACAGATCTTGAGGTCCTTTCTTGCGCAGATGCTGGTCAACTCTGGCTCGTTGAGGATGCTTGCATTGAAGGAAAACATACCGTCGGGGCACGATGATGCAGCCAGGGAGCAAGTCCCGGGGCTGCACAGCTGCAGAGGCGGCCTGTAATCCGAAGGAGACTGTCCATTCGCAACGCTCCAGCAGTCGAGTACCAGATCGGCTTCTCGTATTCCACAGGCGGTGTGATCTGAAGAAGCAATGGCTATGAACCCATAACCGATTGGAACAGAACTTGGATCGACATCTTCCCCCCAACATTCAACTTCGTGATTGTCCTCACGGACTCCACAGAAGTAATCCGCACCGGCTGTTAAGCCCACGAATCTAGCACCTTTCACCGGTTGGGAGCTGAATTGGCTACCATCAGAAGAACCCCAGCACTGAACTTCTCTGGAAGAGCTTGATATCCCACATACAGAGCTTCTTCCCGAGGCCAGAATCTCATAATCACCTGAACTGGTTGGAATCCGCAATTTTCCTGATCTGGGTCCCCAACAAATCACCCCATTTTGTTTGACTACCCCGCAACTAAAGCCATCACCGGCGACTATGTTCTTGAAATTTAGGAGATTCACATAGGAAGTGGAGAATGTATGATCGAGAACCCAACAATCAATTCGACCGTATTCCTCCATCCCAGTGGAGTAGTAAGTCCCTCTGATCGCACAAGCATGATCCTTGCCTGCGGCGATCTGGGAATATGTGTTGTACTGGTAACTTTCCGGGACAAGATTAGTACCTGGATCCGACATCTTGAAGCAGAACGGCTGCGAAGTGTTCGACGTAATGCCGCAGAGAAACTCCTCGCCTCCGGAGAGCGAGGCCATGGGAGGCAAGGGAGCGAAGTGAGCAGTTGACGATGAAGCTGTGAAGTTATCATACTTATCCCAACACAACACCTCCTGCTTCCCTCCAGCATCAATGGCGCAGAAGATCCCGTCGCCGCCGAACGCAGCTGCAACCGGGCCGGAAGATCCGTACCCGGAAACAGCAATCGCCAACTGCAGAATCAAAACAACACCCACAACCAAAGAGAATGGATCGCAGAGACCCATCTTCCAATCTGCCCACTGGGTTTCAAGAAAGAACTCTAATAATGCTCTGCACTCTGGAGAGCTTCATTAAAAAAATGGATTTCGTCAGATTTAATAACTAGCAGTATGGAACGCGTTCATTTAATAACTAGCAAAATTTTAAAAAAGGAAGAAAATGAATTTTGTCAGATTGCTCCCCTTGCAACTTGCAAATGACATGTGCCAAGGGAAATAATATCATGCATCCGCCATTGATTCTGGACATGGGCAAATGAGGGGGAGAACCAGGCTGTATGTCGGGAAGAAGACAGCGCCGGCGGCGGTGTAGGGCTCTTTTCTTTCTTTATTTGAGAGGGTATCTAGCTGATAAGACAAACGGCAAGCAACATGGAGCTGCCAAATGGGCTAGTGGGCATCCATTATACGGCTTTGATTATTTGTCGGGGACCGCCATAAGTTTTGATCATCAATTGAATGAAATGGATCATTAACGAGGAACCAACAAAATCTTCGATATTTGATACGATCCAAGATTTCATTATCTAACTATAAAAAAAGATTTCATAATCTAGTCAAATTTTTCTACAATTGAGTGGGATGGCAAATTATTATAAGGGATGAGGTTCGGTACAAAACTCAAACCTGTAAAATTTCCGGTCACAACATCGTATCATTATTGGAAAACTCTGATCGACCTGTAAAATCTATGGTCGTATCATCGTATCACTATGAACGACCGGGGTTCTTACATATTTGGGTTTTGTACCCTATACGCGCTCCCTTATTGTAATGCGCTAGGGTGGGCGTGATGGTGGGTAATCACGATTTGATGTCGACCTACCCACAAAGAACCAAGACCGCAGTGGATGGGTGATTGATGCAGGTTGGATTGTGAATCAATAAACCTCCTGCCCTAATTTATCGGGTTGTTGTTTCTTGTATATACTAATGAATAGTCCTCGTATTTCTTGACCGACACTACACACTCACCATCAACTTCTAAAAGCGAAAAATGAAGAATATTTTTTAGATACTACTATTGGCCACTACGTTGTGTAATGTCCATAATACATCGAGATGCAAATTATAAACGATTAGTCAATGATTGTAAAATCGTACGAAAGGGTGTACTGGAAAAGTCAACAGTATTATATTTTATGTTGAAGCAGTGGTTCAACCGTTTCATACTGCTAAAAACGCCCACCGATTTAGCCTCTGGTAGGAGGTTTTCCTAAGACAGATTGCTAGTACAATACAGGTTTACTAACACTTCTATAATTATTATATAATTAAAAGCACAAGCACAAGCACTTTTCACTGTTCATTAAGAAAAAAATAGGCTAATTTTTCTCCACAGGTACTGTTCACAATAGGGTTCTATCTCATATACCCAATTTTATCATAAACTCTTTTTCTCCTTTTCTGCAATATTATTCATAAGCTTTTATTCCCTACAACATTTCAACGATAAGTCTAAAATTCATAAGCAATTATTATTATACCACATATTATGAAATATTTATGTAACAAAGTTCAATAAAAGTTACTTAAATTTAAAATTCGTCGGTGTTACTTACTGTAACTTGATTATACTATTAGACCACACATTATGAAAAATTTATGTAATAACGCTTCTATATTTGTTACATGAGTTTTACTTAATGATTAAGACACTATGTAAAGTTTATGGATAAATAATCATTTATGTATCAATTAAAATATAATATATAACTTTTCTATAATAATTAAACACTACGTAAACTTTCTGTAGAAATAGTTACTTACAATACATCACTTAACCAAACGGATGACGTATGTTCTTCGTAATGATTAAAACATCACGTGAAACTTACATATTTATCTTATCTGAATAATTTTGTAAATTATTTAATTTAAACTAAATCATTAGTTTCTACCGCGGCGGAGAGTGGGTAAAAAAACTAATTGTATCTAAGTTGCAAGCGTAAACTTTCTCTACGTAATTGGTTGATGAAGTAAAGAAAGATTTAGACAAGTGCTAGATCCACATACGAGGCAAATTAGCAAGAAGTGTCTAAATTGATTCAGACTTACTAATTTGTGAGAAATTTATTATATATGTTAGTCAAGTTACCTAATTACTAGTTGGAGAATTGCATTTGCAGATTAACTCACAACTTGATTGCACCCATCAGCCACCACCCAACCCAGTCCAAAGTAGTGTGTGAGCAAATTGCGGGTCACAATTATACCAACTCGTTAGTAAGCAGACTGACTAATTATTAGAATTATTAATTCACAAGTTTAAAGCACTGTTCCTTACGAACTAATAGGGTTTACCATAATTAGAGTACACTGTTCATTAGGGAATTGATTTCCTGCGGTCAGCTCTAGGGGTCGTTTGCTTGAGGGTATTGGTGATGGATTTGGTCATGGAAATATATTCATCATGGACTTGAACCGAAATCCATCGTTTGCCTTACAGCCTGTTTGGATACAATTCCGGAAGAAATGGAAATGGAAATGGAATTCAATTTTTTATTTTTATAGAATTCCATTTCCAATTCTAGTGTTTGGTATAATTCCTACAACTATGGAAATGAATTGCACTTTTAACCATAATGAATAATGTAATATGTTTGTTTTATTTTGGGAAATGAAATATGAATGAGAGAGAAAGAGAGTAAAATGATAGTGGGTCAACAAAATAATAAAAAGTATTGATGGGTCCCACTAATTCCATCTTCATTCTCTCAATTCCAATCACTTTTGATAGGAATTGTAATTCCCATATTTTAGACCCATTGGAATTCAATTCTCAACCTTTTTATTATTCCAAACATAATATATGGAAATGGAATTGGAAATGGAATTCCAATTCCTTACTTTTTTGTCAATCCAAACAGGCTGTTAGGGAATTAGGGAGATGGAATTTGTGGGGCCCACCACTTTAGGGGTTCCAAATCCGTGGACCCCACCAAGCAAAGCCCATTGTCTTCTCCATTCCACCATTTTTATTCCAACATTTAGAGATTTCTAATAATAATAAGGGTTAATATTTTCGTATGGCCTGAACTTTGACCAAAATAAACATCCTGGCCAATCTTTTCGATCTATAACATCCTGGCCCGAACTATACACCAAAATAAACAATTTGGCCAAACCCGATGTTTGACCGTTAACTTGGATGGTTAAACGCGTTGACTAACGGTCAACTTGCCACGTCACTGCCAAGTCAGAAGATCTGATAAATATTTAATTTTTTTCATTTTTTCATTTTTGGTTTAACTAAGGTATTAAATGATTTTTTTTAATTTATAATAATTTAAAATTAGGGAATGTGTGGAAATTGTGAATTATTTTTAATATTTTATGCTGACTTGGCAGTGACATGGCACGTTGACTAACGGTCAACGCGTTTGACCGTCCAAGTTAACGGTCAAAAGTCGGATCTGGCCAAATTGTTTATTTTGGTGTATAGTTCGGGCCAGGATGTTATAGATCGAAAAGATTGGCCAGGATGTTTATTTTGGTCAAAGTTCAGGCCATACGAGAATATTAACCCTAATAATAATTCAAACTTTTTATTGGTAACCATAATAAAAAAGCAAGCATAAAAAATCTTACAGTATTGACGGTCCGACCGAAAAATCTTCTATCGAGTTTAAATTGGTAGGTTTTTTTAGCGCTATGAAATGGTTGTACAACGGTTAAACCACAATTTTAGAACAAAAAACCATACCACTAACTTTTTCAGTAACACCCCCAATTTCACCACGATTTCTTTTTCCCCTGTAGTCAACTATAAATTTTTTTTATTTCTGAATAATATCAATAGAGGACAAGAGTTATTCATACAAATCTACTCAGGACCCTTTACAATATAATCTAATGAAGCCACCCCAAAAAAATTGAAAGATTCTAGCTCTAGACGAGACAAAAGCAGTGTTTTACGCGCCACTCTATGGGCATCATTGTTGGCAGTTCTAGGTACCGCCCTAAACTCTATACAAATGGACAAAGAGCTAAGGATCTAACGACACTCTCGAAACCCCAGACCACCAATCGAGTCTTCTAAGAAGCCTTGCCGGATCTGCTTGACGACCACTTCGGAATCACCTTCGGCTTGCGTATACAAATACATTACGTAAAACTTATTATTAGCTACAATGTTCATTATCTCACCAATTTGTATTACGCAAAAGTTCTGTAAGATAAGATACTTTTACATAGTAGTTTAATCAAATGTGATACTTAAAATAACTTACCTAATTTTATCATTAGACCACGCATTACAAAAGATTTACTTAACGTACGTTTTATAACAATTATGTAAATTAAAAATTCATACACAAAAACTTATAGATGGATAATCATTCCTTATGTATCAATTGAACGTAGCTTATCAAATAAGTCTTTCGTAGCCATAAGTTCTTTTTCCTCTATTGTCAACTATATTTGCGAAATACAAATACATTAAATAAAAGTTATAGAGTTACAATGTTTATTATTAGAAAAATTACTTGGAACATAGCTTATCAAATTGCGTTTTTCTCAATTTTGCATGATTTTACCATTAGTTCACACATTACGAACAATTTACGTAACATCGTTCTATAACACTTACGCAAATGAAAAATTCATTCATAAAGCTTATAGAGATATAAGTATTTCGTATATATAAGTTAAATATCATGTATTAAATAAATCTTTTGTAATGACTAATACACTAGGTAAAACTTATGGAGGGATAATAATTTGTATGTATCAATTAAATAAATATAATACATAAATTCTCCATGGTATAAATTTGAATTAAATTCCTAAAATTTAACTAAACTATTAATCATCTCATTAATTTGCATTATACACAAATATTGGAATGGAAGTTAACTTTACATAACAATTCAATCATAGATTATATTATTAGTAACTTAAGGAAGTATTTTCCCAAACTATTTTTGAACTTTTAATTGCAACTAATTTATTAAATCAACTAATGTAATTTAAAATAAAATTAGTTTTTCACCGCAGCAAAGTGCGGGTCCAAAAAACTAGTTTAATTAAAACCGAAATCCACACATCTAACCCAATACCACCACTTCAAATTCAAACTAATCCTCATAACAGTGAACAGTGATTGGACACAAGAAAACCTTATACGGGAGTGTTGTACAAACCCATTACGTTAATCCAACCCTTGATTGGATTTGGATCCACTATTGTTCTTTTATCTTACGGACCTCCAACCGTGTCTTCCTACGGACTTAAATGTCGAACAACATAGCTAAAAGAACTTACTCTATGAAAATGTGTGCATTTGATTCCTTCCTCCACGACTCAAATACTTAAATACTTAATACCAAAAAAATGCGCAATGTCAACATGCACATGGAAGTGAAGTGCCACTAGGGACGGAGATAAATAAATCATTAAATTAGCAGAGCTCTTGGATCTGAAACTAACTACTACTTCTAACCTAGATTCTAAAGGATCAAATCTTAACTATATATATACGAAAAATGGAACCACTTGAAGGATCAAACTGTTGGTTTATGTATATAACTAAGGTTTAAAAAAATTATTAGTTAAGTGCTCAATAAAATAAGAGAAGGCAAGAGTAGTTTTGACTCAACCAGCTTGTACTGGAGACGTACTCTCATCGACGACTGAATGTGTGTTTCCAGGCAGCTGCAGTTATGAATTAATCTTTAGTGTACAGTTGTGATTGTCAACGACGACATTAGGCTCAATTTGCGCGGAGTGATACAACAAAATGATATGGCAGCAGCATGTGGTTACTCTCAAAATCTGCATATTTGTTTGGGTTACATACATGGCAGAAGAAGATACTAACCCATGACTCATTAAAGAAAGAATGAACTCTCTTGTCACTGTTTAGGTGACAAAACACCAAATTTTGGGTTATTCACGCTATATTTGCGTTATTCACGTCATATTTGTGTCATTCACGTCACATTTGTGTTATTCACGTAAAAGTGTTGGTTATTCATTCAACCAATACTGTTAGGTCACGCCACCTGATGTTTATTCACGCATATTGTTAATTATTCACGCCGTTGTAAAATACAGTTTTAAACTTTGAAATATATCAAAATGGATGTCATTGTGTAGATTATGATCAATGCAACATATTTTTACAGATTAAATGATAATCCAAATTTAATTCCATAAAATATAGCATATACAAATTATTAGGGGGAAAAGTTTGAATGTTTATTTACGTGAAAAACTTACTCTCTTACGTAAATCACCATAATATTATGTGAATAAGCACATGTTGGCATTAATTAGTACAAAGTGGTGTAACTGAACTTATCTTAGGTGTTCTGTCACCTAACGCGATAAGAGATGTTTTCCTTAAAGAAAGAAAAAGGGTTAGATCGATGTTGCCTAGCAGATGTGTGCTCTACAACGCCTCAGAAGAGACAGCAAGCCATATCTTCCTATACTGTATCTGTAAGCAGGGGCGTAGCGAGGATTTTTTCCAAGGTGGGTCCATTTTTATTAAATTTTTAAATATTTATGAAATAATTTTATATTTAAAATTTTTTGGTAAATAAAAATACATTAGTAGTCGAAACTATCAATAATATCTATCTTTGATAGCCAAACAATTATTCATGGTTTAGGTAGTCATTCGCTTTTGAATGGTGTTCTTTGTCAAGAATCGTTTAGTATCACTAATTCGAGTTGTTGAGAGAGATTCAATGATGCAACTTATATCAAACTATTAGTCATTATTTAGTTAGACATTCGCTTTCCAATGATATTCTTTGTCTGAATCGTTTAGTATCAGAAACTTGACGATTTAGTTAGTCGTTCACTTCCAAATGGCGTTCTTTGTGAGCAATCATTTAGTATCAATAACTAGAGTTGTTAGGAGAGATAAAATAATGGATTGTATACCATTTACGAGCAACTCCCTTAAAAAAAGAAGCTAACTTATATGAGTTTAAAGTTTGTACAAATCTAAATATCATGTGTTTAATAAATAAGGTTATTGATATTAGAACATAAGACCTATCAATCAACCATTATCAATTAAATGCATCATAATTTTCATTATCAATTAACTATTATACCTAATTTATCAAATTTCTCCCGAGTCAGAGTGGGTCCGGGACCCACCCTATTACCTTCTCCCTCCGCCAATGTAAAGTATGCATCTATTACGTAAAGGTTACGTAACGATAGTTATTTCTTACGTAACAGTTAAATTAGAAGTGTTACGTAAGCCTTCCGTAATGATTCAACAGATGACGTAACGAAAGGTTAATATTCATTACGTAAAATGATTCTCTATTACGTAAGGTTTCCGTAATGACATTTTTCAACTATTACGTAAGATAAGCACACATTACGTAACCATTACGTAATGTCTATTGTATTTTACGTAATGCGACTTGTGAAACCTGTTATAGCAGGTCAAAAACATCAAGTTACCATAACTTCAAGGTATTGTAAGAATTTCATATAGTTTATAACACCATTTTAAAAAGATCTAAATTGATATTGATCTTTAAAATATAATAATAAACGAACTTTGACGACGATTACTTCTATTAACTATTATCATTCTTTCGTAACTTGATCTAATTGACATGTCATCAAAATCACGCTACATCACTTGATGTAGTCTGTTGGCAGTTGGCACCCAACCCAACCTCGCACTTGACAAGTCAATCTCAATCATTCTTACACTATGTTCATTTGCAAAAGAAAAGGAGGGGAGGGTAGGGAATGGGGGAAAGCATCAATTCCCAAGATACTTTCCAACGTTTTTTAAAATTAGAATAGTGACAAAGGGAAGGAAAAGGGGGATAGGGGTACTGTTCCACCCAACCCCCCAATTTGGGGAGAAAAGAGACAGAACCATTAATTCCCCACCTTTTTTTATTTGCCTATCTCCTCTCTCATCTGTCATCTCCACAATCTTCTTCCTTCTCCACTAGTAAAGAGACGAACCAGTGGAAGAAAAACAGAGCTTCTTTCTCCACAATCTTTCTTTTGTTATTCTTTGTCCGCCATCTTGCTCCCATTGCACAAATAATGGCAACAAATCTATATTTCAACCATCTCCCATAATATATATCATACATTTCATTCCATTAATCGAAGATCTGCCATCTCTCCATCAACGAAGTTTTTTTTTTTTTTTGTGCGAGCAGCTCCCTCTTCATCGTTCTTCCTCAAACTCTTTTCTCTCGTTTCTGTGGCTAATCTCGATCTGTCATATGTTTTTCCTTTGTTGATTTTCTTCCCGAATCAGAACTTCTTTTCTTTTCCTTTTCCCCCAAATCAGAAAACTAGGGTTCGCAGGGGAAGGGATGATGTTCCAGTGAGCAGTGAGGCTGCTCAAGTCCAGGGATCCATATATTCCCTCCTATGGCAAAACCCACTAATTCCTTCCTACCCTAATATCAGTATATCCATCGCCAACAAAGTCCAGCATCTAACTCAAAACAGATCCCCTTGGCTGCTGCTGAACTTTCGCTCTTCTTCCCAGACTAGAGCTGTCCCACAGTCTGCTTCATTCTTCTATGGCCAACAGCTGAAAAACATAGCATTCTCTGATGTCCATGGTAAGAAACTCTAGCCCAAATTTCATCATCTTCCATTTTCCCCCAAATCAGAAAAGCTAGGTATATAAAATTACTGTTTCTATTTTACAGGTTGCTATTGTTGCTTTGGGGCCCTCTGTTTTTTTCCCTCTCTCTGTCGTTCTGGGCTTCTAGGAGACCTACGCTAGCTTGAGGTTGGGGGACAATAGTGTCCGTCGTTGACGCCACAAGGTATGTTACTCTACTGATTGCCGACTGCATTATACCGGTTTGACTTAGGCTGCTGCCTCTGATTTTTCTTAGTTTATGATATAAACTGAACGGTTAGTTGTTTTCATTGTCGCCTCCTTTATGTAGCTCTAGTTACCCTTTGTTGAATCTATTTTCTTTGTTAGGACTAGATGGTTTTGATTCTTTGATCTCTGGTTGTTGTGATTGTGCTTTTACAGGTTGCTCTTTTCTTTTGTTTAAGATGTTTCATGGTGCTTATTTGTTAGAACTAGAACCTGACTTTAAAAAGAGAACATCGTGATTTAGCCACTAGAGTCATTCATCTGCGGATGAATGTATAAATGATAATATGTGTGTTGAATAAATTTTACAGCATTAACGTAGCAACTTAATTATCCTTGGTGATTTGATTAGATGGATAGAGAAGCTCAAGATTCAAATGAGATTGAAGATCATATTACTGATGGGTTGGAAGAGATTTTAGATTTGCATGGAACAGAACAAGATAGTTGGAGAATTGTCATGGAAAATTGGCAGAGACAAAGAGATATGTGTGTCATACAACTTATTTGCTACATTGTCCATGCATTGCATCTATTAAATAGACAAGCCTCCAGTGGATCGTGGGGGTTGAGTTTTCAAGTAAGAGAGGATAAAAGAAGAGATCTTCTGAAACAATTGCGTAATCATGAAGTTTCATGTCGTGCAACATTACGTATGGGGGTAGAAGTGTTCGCTCTTTTTTGTGAAAAATTACGGGGTACAGGAGTGTTGCAAGATTATAATCGTGCCACAGTGGAAGAGCAAGTAGCAAGATTTTTGTCTATTCTTGCCCAAACTGGTGGCAAGTATCGCAATCTGGCTTTCTATTATCATCGAAGTATTGGGACTATCAGTAATCATTTTCATAATGTCTTGCGAGCTGTGATAAGTTTAGCACCTCAATTCCTGAATCAACCTAGTGCAACAACGCCAGTGTCCTCCGTAATAAGCAGTAACTCTAGATTTTTTCCGTACTTCAAGGTAATGATTCATTACTTGCATTGTTTACATATTACCATATCTTAAAGTGTCTTTCAAAATCATGTATACTTAGATGTCTGCATACATATCTCCTCAGGATTGGCATCAGGTATAGAGAAAGGTAATGTGATTGCTGAACGATCTGCCAAGGCTATGGAGAAAGGAAATGAGATTAAAGAGAGGTCTTTGGTGATTCTTGACCATCATAAGACTCACATCTACAAAGAGGGAGAAATTTTCCAAGAATTGCAATGCTATGATATTCCTGGAGAAATGAGGTTGAATGGCTATAAGTATCTAGCAAAAAATCCGGATACCACAAGGGCTTTATTTGGCTTGCCAGAAGAGTATCGACAACAATTCATTGTTGATTTGGCAAAAAAACAAACCTTCTGGCAAGTTGACTTTTGATGTGGTCTAGTAGCATGTTACCTAGTACTAACAGGTTGCCATCTTTAGGACGGACTTATGTAAGTATAGTATTATCAGGTGACCTTTTTTTGGACGGATTGTACTATGTATCTCTAGTATTAGCAGATGCATTTGGACGGATTTATGCACTTCTAGTATTAGCATGTTACTTAGTACTAACAGGTTGCCTTCTTTTGGACGAACTTATGTAAGTCTAATATTATTATGTGACCTTCTTTTGGACGTATTGTATTATGTATGTCTAGTATTAGCGGATACCTTTATTTTGGATGAATGTATGTACTTCTAGTATTAGCATGTGACCTTATATTTGGGAAATTACTATTATCCTGTTGCTTTTTGGACAATTTATGTATCTGTAATTTGTTGTATGTTTATATATTTAGTTGCTATGTTATTACTCAATAAAATAGTTAACAAAATTTTAGTAATAGGTTGACAAATTTCATTCAAATAACCAACTTTTGATTTGTTGTAGTTAACAAAATTAACAAAGAAGAACAAATTTGATCCACATTACATAATTAATGTAAATAGTATAAACACATAATTAAATTATTTAACTATTCTATCATCAATAAAATATAATACATATCACAATTCCCAATCTACTTTTTCCCTCCCACTTTCCATTCCACTTTCCTCCATTAAACAACATTTTCTTTCCAATTCCCTCTAATTTCCCTCCCTTCCAAACTTAACCTCCCCTCCAAATTTTCCTACCCTACCCTCCCCTCCTTTTCCTCCCTTCCTTCATGAACATAGTGTTAATCAATGAATCCCTATTTAGGAGCCATGGCCGGAGCCAAATTAGAACAAGGTGGGTCACGAGATCGAGAGAAAATGTGTATATATAGATATATAATATATAATTAGGTGTCGATAGACTTGAATTTTAAACATTTTTCAATGTTAGTTAATATTTCTACAACCAAATTACAATTAAATAATGAACATAGTTGTCTATCTACACAATAAATAAAAGCCAAATGAGAAAACTTGAAGCTCCATTTCAAAATTTCTACATCTAGAGTGAAAGTAAGAAGGACATTTTGGTCTTCACAATTACTTTTTTTTATTCATTAAAAAGACACTTACTATGATTCGAACCATGACCACTTTAAAGAAAAGCAAAGATTATAACCAATCACACTAAGTACATTTGTTGTACCTTTTTAAATTAAAAATACATAATCGCAGAGAGGAAAAAACTCTTCCCACATTTTAAATTCCCTGCTCCATGAGCGTTTGTAGGAAGGGTAGAATAGGGAGTGCCAATTTTTTTCTTTTTCCTCTGTGGAACGGGTCTAGGAGTTTCAATTTTTTTCTTTAAGTCCTTTTATCTCCGTGGTGGTAAAATTATTATTATTATTATTATTATTATTATTATTATTAGATATATTAAACCGTAAGTCTCCTTTTAATTTTTTACTGTTTCATACGATAAAACCGGAGACTTTATTTATTTACCATAAAATTCCAATTCACTGTTCATAATTAAGTGTTGTACTAATCTCCTGCGGGCCGGCCTATGTACATTAATCCTTTTGGATCGCCTGAAAGCGAGCAATATTGCATCTCAATATTCTTTTCAAATTTTTTTACGCATGTTTCTTTTAAGGCATCCTCAACACTTTCAACCAAGGATTGAAATATTGTGCCGAAAATATGTATGAAAAGGCAAAAACAATACTCTTTTTTATTGCTAAAAAGAAAAGAAAAATAACAATAAACTAATGCATGGATTCTAATGGGCTAACCGCTAATCATAAAATAAAAGAGTTGAATGGGCCTGACCTACACGGGATTTGCCCATCAAGTAAAACAAATGAACATCATTGGTCGTTGCATCATTCATGTCTCTTTCCTACTAAAATTCACTATTTTTATCACGTGTTTCCAAAAAAAACTATACAACAATAAGCTATACACCCCATTACATTATCAAATTTCATACCTCACCTTCCTCCGGCAAAATGGCCGGAGCCCACGCTAGTTATCATTTGTATGTAAAATACATTTTCTAGTTTATAAATATACATAATATTACCATAAAATATAACTTCATCATTAAAATCTCAAATTCTTAATTTTATTCATCTTCTTCCACCATATACTAATTTTATTAAAACTCTCTAGCTTCCTTTTACCTAATGTCCACAAGGATATCAAAAACATTTTAGATTTGATGTGTATCCATCATGATATAAAATCGGAATGATATGTAATTAACTACTTTGACACACTCCCTTGTATAAAATCGCCACTTTCAATTAACGAAAGCAAATAGAATGAGAGCTACTCAGAAATTATGAAATCGGTAATTTACCAATTTCTTGAAAGAGAAATGGAAGGTAATTAATCTTTGATTTGATGGCCCAACGTTCCCACTAAAACGTCAAGTCGTTTCCGCTCCCTTGCTTACATTTTCTTCCTTGCGGAATTTCCAATCCCGTATACAACTCCTGCGCACAACCCTTTTCCTCCATTGCCAAAATCCCACGTAAAGCCAAGCTCGACCTGGCGAGCCGGAAGGATAAATCTGATCTCCTCCCACGATTCAGCTCCGCTGCTCTTCTTCCAATTACTGCCTCCTGAAACCCTAATTCCTCCATCGTCATGAGTGCTCCCGCCATTTCAGGGGTAAGTACTTCCTTCCGGAGAAAGCACTGTTAGATCTTGATGTTTTTCCCGGGGCGAGAATTCCCCCGCATCCAGCTTCTGGCTGTTCTCTACGCCTCAGATCTTGATTATCTCTACTCGATTTCAGCAATTTTTCTTTCAATTTCGTTCTGTCTCGGCGGACGTTGTTGATTGTTTCCGTTTAATTGGGCAGGGGACGAGCTTGTTCACTGGCTTCACGCGATTATGCAAGGGCCTCGCCGTGGTCCTCGTCGCCGGCCACATTGTGGTCCAGACTTTGCCTTTCACTGTCAACTACCTCGCCCTCATTCCGGCCAGGTTGAATTGCATGTTCATGATTGTCTTCATTTCTCTTCGCTGGCTTGTTTGTTAACCGTAATAAGGAAACTAGACGCTCTGTTGATTGAATACTTTGCTTGATTAAGTAATTGTCTGAATAGTGAATACTGTTGTTCATCTCCTCATGATGATTCTCCTAGTGTGGTTTTGTAGCGTTAATTGTGCATTTTTCGAGGTCATGAATCATGATCTAGTTTAGTATAGGCTTGGATGATAAGTTTAGTGATGTTTTTCAAGCAGCACCTGGTGAATTAAGAGATCAGTGGATACGTTCCTTGCTTGTTCGACTCAACTTTGCTTGCTGTGTCATGAGGTCAATTTACTGGGAGGGTAGAGAACAGTTGGTAGTTGTTTGTTAATCGTCATGGTTTATTCGAAGGCTGTTACTGGTGATAACTGGATCGCCGATTTAGCTGACAGTTCTAGTTGCAAGTAACGCATGCCTAGCATGTAGGATTTGTTTACCCTGTATGCATGAAATGTGTTGATGATGCTCTTATGAAAAAAAATGATTTCAAGGTCATTTGTCTGAATCCAACTTAGAATTTTCGATGAGGTGACAGTCTTTAAGTTGTACATACTCCATTGGACTAGTTCCAAAACAAAGTCCTCTGGGATTTTAGTCTGTTTTGCATCTCAATTATTATGTATGAACTTAGAAACACCCGGTCATTGTGTTCTGGTCTATGGAACTGGAGATCAGCACTTAATCAGATTTATCTATGCAAGATTTGAACAAAAAAGTTCTTTAAGGTCTAGACCGTTTGTCATGATGCTGCTGTGCTATCGTAGTTGGCATTTTACAACCAGATTTGTGGATAGATTGTTAATCAACTTCCTGCCTAAAATTTCTCTTTGTAGGACTATACCTTTCGCGTGGAACCTCATAACAGCTGGATACATTGAGCAAACAATATATGGAGTATGTTGTCCTTCCTCAAGTTTCTGGAGTACATTTACCTTCTTTAAATCCTACTCATGAGTACATTGATCATGTAGGTGGTTGCCAACACTCTGTGCCTTCTAGTTATGGGGAAGCTGCTTGAACCAGTTTGGGGATCCAAGGAGTTCTTAAAGTTTATTTTCATTGTTAACATCCTGACGTCAGTCTGTGTTTTCATCACTGCCATCACCTTGTACTACATTACAACCAAGGAAACTTACCTGTAAGTATATGTTCCACTTGTGTAATTCACTTTTCTTCCGCTGGTGGTAATTGACTTCTTTTCTTCCGTTGTTGCTAAATTGATTGGTTACTCTTGTTTCTAGCTACATGCCTGTATCGGGTTTTCAAGGAGTGGTGTCCGGTTTCTTAGTTGGCATGAAGCAAATTATACCTGACCAAGAGCTATCTGTGTTGAGAATAAAGGCTAAGGTACGGAGCCTTCAGTTCTTCTTCCTTCAGACGAGTCACTGGCCTACTGCAAAGCTGAGGACTGGGGTGGGGAGATATGTCCGATTCAATCAACTGACTGGTGTTACCTTTTCTACAGTGGTTCCCATCTATAATGCTGTTGCTGTCAATTGCTGCCAGCTTCTTCACAGAGGAGTCAGCTAAATACCTCCCAACACTCGTATTCGGCACATACACGAGCTGGATTTACCTGAGATACCTACAGAGGAAACCCGAAACGAAACTAAGAGGAGATCCCAGCGACGATTTCACATTCTCCAGCTTCTTCCCTGATTTCCTTAGGTACGAATTAGTTCTCATTTCGTGAGCTCATGTTTCGAATTTCTCATCCTAAGCAAGGTTTTGCTCTTGATGCAGACCGGCTATCGACCCAATCGCATCGATTTTCCATCGGTTGCTTTGTGGAAGAACTCAAGTCCCCGGTGATGCAGAGGGTTACGCATTGGGAGGTACAGCACTGCCCGGGTCCGACCCCATCGAGGCATCTAGGAGGAGGTAAAATCACTGTTCCCTCTTTCGGTTTTGGTTTGCTTTGACAGAGCCGGCTCAAGAGTATGAACAAAAGAACATAACACATTTTTTTTTCGAATTGCAGAGAGAGAGGAGCTAGAGCACTGGAGGAAAGACTGGCGGCTGAGAAATTGGCTGCTGCACGGAGCATGGAGGAGTTGAAAAAGGATGCCCCTGAAGATAATGTGTAGAGTTACCATACCAGACAATGTGATAGAAGAACCGAACTCTCTTCTTGTTTTAACTTTGAGAAAGAAAAGAGATCAGATAAGTCGTCTGCCAGATAATGAGATGATATGTGCAGCAGGTTTTGCAGATTCCTAACATGTGGCCCTCCACTTCCTCATCCATATAAAATACCTTCTTTGAAAATTGCAGCAAAATCCCATGAGATTCTAATCCTCTTGATAAATGATAACCCACTACATCCAAAACAAGATTACTATAATACCCTAAGCTGCTACTGTTAGTTTTTCTACTTTTTCGTATCCAAAATCCAACTTATTGTGCAGTGTAATTTAATACTGTCGATGTGAATTTAAACCATTTAAAATTATCGTTTAATACTATTAACCGATTTCCTATATATTTGTTGAACTTGTTTCATGCAAACTGCATGTTTAGTAGATTCAAGAACCATCATTTTTCTTTGATTTTCCATATTATTATGTTCGGCTCTTGTAAACGTTAGATTGTCCTATTGTGCCAAAAAATCATTTACATATTGGTTAGAATTGATGTATATACAAAGAAACAACCACGGCTTTCCGGGAAAAATAAATAAAACATCATTCATCATAATTGGTTTTCAATTTAAAGATCGTATATTCTAATTTAACGATAGACTTCAGTCCAACACCGTAAAAAGAATTTCAAGATCAAAGATGAGTGACAACCATATTTTTTTTTTTTTAAAGTAACACTAATTAAAAACATCGAGCCGTCGTTAATAAATTGGTGGGTGAATGCAATGGCTTATATAGTTAATAGGTTAGCAGTTTTTAACCTCATCATCTCATCTAATCCAAAGAACTCTTTTCCCCTTTAATTTCGTGCTGTGTTTTCTTTAACCAAACAAAAAGCAATCCAAGCCAAAGCCCAAGGAAGAGAGAGAAAGGGGCATCCGAATAATCCGCGAGAGAGCCACTTGTATATTCCCTCTTTCTTCTTCTTCTCCTTCTTCTTCTGTTCCCTTCCCCCTTCTCCGACCGTCTTCCTTCCTCCACCCTTTTTTGACCAACCGGAAGTCAACCTCAATTCCTCCCCTTCCCTCCGTCTCCTCCGCCGCCTCCTTCCGCCGTTCAGGTACGCTCTTCCGATCCATCGCCTCCGATTTCCCTGTAATCATCCGTCTCTCTCTCTTCCTCTCTCTCTCTTTTCCTTTTGTTTCGCCGCTTCCTGTTTGAATTCGCATGCATCATCTATCGCTTTTCCTGCGTTCATCGCCTTGCTTTTTGCGCTTAATCGGGAGGATATCGTTGGGGCTTAGGCTCGGAGCGTCTGGCGTTCGTTCTGATGAGCTCGGATGCTTCCGATTGCATTAATTTCGCCCGATACCTATGATACAGATCCTACCGTGAGGTTGGGGAAACGCTGGGATTCGGCTTCCGTTCGTCTGTATCTGTGTAGCCGGATAATGGATGCTGATTACTGAGATGTACATATTTTCGATCCAATTTCGCTTGCGGTAGGGGAGAAGAGAGAAGAAGGGGCGGGGGTTGGGGCTGAAGGAGTTGAGAGTGCTTTAATTGTTCCCAGTTGATTTCTACCATGATGATTAATGGATTTGGCAATGCGATGAACTGTGTCTAGCTCTCTGTGTGTTTTTGCAAGAGACTTGTAAGGGCTTGCATGCATGTGCGAATTAGATTATACCGCGGAGCTGTGAATTCGTGCTAACTGTGAGGCTGGGGACTCGTTGCTTGTGAAGCATTAATGGTAAAAATTTAGGTACAGAAGGAAGAACTATGTGCTGTGGTTAATGCGTTTGTTGTTTGACAGACGGATTAAACGTAGGGCGAAGCTCCTGTTCAAGATATTCTCTCTATAGAATCTAGCTGATTTCCTTACTTGGACGTGTTGAGCTTCTCTGGTTGTAATTCATGCAAGGTGGATGCTATCGATTCTCTAATTTCATCCAGCAGGATCTAGCGAATGGTTTCTTCCCGAGTCGAACAAATTTAGAATCATTCAGGGATCCTTTTTTCAGATTTTTTTGAGATTTTATCATTCTGAGCCTTGTGTTTCTTGATAAGCTCTGCAAGATAAATAGTCCGAATTCGTTTAGAGTTCTAGCAAACTGTGAAATTTACAATAAATGAAGCCTCTGCTCTCAAAGTGTCTCTTCATTTCTTGCTCTTGAAATACGTCAGATATAGGAACATGATTTGGTGATTAGTTGTTGTAATGAAACACGAGGGGACTGAAAAGCATACGAGCCTGCTTCACGAAGCAAATGAATTGGAACTATCAAGTGTGCTATGAATTTCCCCTGGACGCCTCTCTTTATTTCTCTGATTGGACATCCTTCTAGAGAGCCTGGACGGTGTCTTTAGAGATCGTCACATCCTAAATTTTAGTTGTTGATAAATTTTCATCCGTATGTTTAGTTTAAATGTCATGATTAATATAGCAATTTTTGTGCATTCAAAGTAACAACAACCATCATCCTCCATACATGCAATAATTAGCTTTATTATATGGTTTTCCTCTTGCTTGTAGGTTGGATTGCATTGAGCATCAGACTTGAAGACATCAGTTTATGTGAAGGCCAATGGGGGACAGACACTTCTCAAACACATCAAATTTCTTTGAGAGAGATCGGGGGTGGGGCGAAAGAGATGTAGCTGCTGGAAGGTCCTTTTTATATGCAGGTAGTGTACCTTTCTCCTCGTCCATTCCTTGTCCAACCTTATTGGCTAATGTCTCTTCAGTGGGGAGTGCTTTTGGTGGCTAACTTCAATATTATTCCCCCAACTTGAGTGAGATAAGGATCAGAATTTGAGAAAACCTGTGATTAGAATAATGCATAGCATAAAACTTCATTTCCTATGTGGAATTGTGACTGGGTGGATCTGTAACAGTAATGCGGTTACTACTTTGCTGCAAATGTAACCGAATTATGTGGCTCACATAAAGGAGACCATTCATTTAAGATTTACCTATTCAGTATCTGATGTGCTCGGTTAGATTCAGAACTGAAAAGTCAGAACTCAGAAGAGATGCTACTTTTATCACATTTTACCGTGCCCTACAGCTGTTGGATCACTCTTTGCATTTGTCAACATTTACATTGTTGGGCCTTCTGGCAGTTCTTCTGTTCTTACTTACTACAACCAACTTCATCGCAGGAAGGGCTGTCACTCCTGAAAGTGTTTCTTATCTATACCCATCTGGTAACATCCTGACAAGTGGACTCAACTGTGCTTCTCAGCACACCTGGGGAAGCGGATCAGTGGAACATACGTCGACAAATAGGTTAGAAGGTGGTCCTCAAGTTCATGGTCACCATTCTGCCTCGTATGATACCTTGCCTCAGTTTGCAAGTGAGGGAAGCTTTCCCCTAGAACCTGAGGTCAATGCTACTAGTGCCTCCAATCATTACAATGGTCAGATTATGCATGATAACAATGGTGGTTTGGTAGATTATTCGATGACCACAGGGAGAGGCCGTTTCAAAAGGAAAATTCCTAGCTTTATTCCACCCTGTGAATCAGGTAGCACTCCAGTATTTTATGGTGCAGGAAGTTCCTCCTCCCAGCCCAATGGGATTCAGCTGGGTAGTACACCTTTCCCTTCCAACTCGTTTCACTTGCCTCCTCCGCATGGCGGTGGCAGTTTGACAATTGGAGGTGAAGACTCTGGGAGTAACCCGAGAAGCAGAGCTATGGTTGATTCGGAGCCTAACCCAAGGATAAGCTATATTCAAAATTATACCCCTGCGCCAAATGGTTCAACCTCTCACATGCCGAACCACGGGGCAATAAACATCCATAGTATTAACAGCAATGCACCTGCTTATGGACAGAATCATATTGGCATTTCTCCTCCCGCCCGTGGGGGATTTCAGCAAATATCAGGTTAGCTTAGTATATTTTGATTTCTAATCTTATTTCTTCTTCCCCTGCTGAGTATTTGTAATTATTACAACTGCAGCAAATAACGCCATGGGCATAGAGATGAATCCATATTATGCTGGAGGGAGTGCAGCAGATGCTAGTAGGTACCAGCACCACATCCATGAATCCATCTTGAGCAGAAATCCCATTTCACCTCCCCAGTACTTTCATGGTCTACATGCCCTTGCTGTAAATGAGGATCATGCTAACTACTTTCAAGGAGCCATACCTTCTTCCCAGAGGACGGATGTAATATCCTTGCACTCGGGGCAAGGAGCAGCAACAGCAGCAATTTCGGGAATGAGTCATCAGCCAGTTGTTCCAGAAAGTTATCCTTCGAGATTTGCAAGACCCTTTTTAGCCAGAGGCTGGCATCACAACAACCATAGGGAAGGAAGGTCCAGCAGGATGCTTGAGAGATTGCACTCGCGCACAAATGCTGTGGATGCACAAGACAGAATAGGGGGCGAGGTATGTACTTATTGATTTGCTTCTGCTGTATAGGAAGCAAGATTTAAGCACACGGTCGTGTCCTACATGCTTTCCAGCCTCTTAAGAATTATCTTACTGAAATATATTTCTACAACTGCTATTGGGCCTGATTTTTGCAACTGTCACTGGTGGAGAATTTTCAATGGGGATGACTCTGGAATTACTTTCTTGACCACCTTTTATCCACTTCACCGCAGGCTTTCATGATGTTTGATGGCTCACATTTATATGGCTCCAGAAACATGTATGATCAATATGGGGACATGAGGCTAGATGTGGACAACATGAGCTATGAGGTTTGGAATTGACACAATAATTTGTATGCGGTTTTCTTAATGTTTCTCACTTTCTCTTACGGCAAAAAACCTCAATCAACATGCTGTTTTGCAGGAGCTACTTGCCTTAGGAGATAGCATAGGAAACGTCAACACCGGTGTACCTGAAAACATGGTATCGGAATGCTTGTTGGAGAAGAAGTACTCGAGTTCAGACAAAAACCTAGAAGAGAACTGTTCTATCTGCCTTGTAAGTACAATTTTCGCCTAACACGCTGTTTCTTCTTCTCGAGTCCCTCCCCTGACCTGTACTTTCTGGTGGTGGTCTCCATGTTCACAGGAAGAGTACAAGAAAACGAGCAGGATTGGGAAGTTGAAAAAATGTGGGCACAATTATCACATAGGCTGCATCAAGAAGTGGTTGTCTATGAAGAACTCCTGCCCCATCTGCAAAGGACCAGCAGCCCATCTACCCGGTTCGGATCAAGAATGACATCGGCTCATGTCCCGGTCTCGTGCAGAGAGAATAATCCTTCTTATCTTAGTAATTGTTTGTAAATATGTTGCACAGACAGATATGGGGATTTGAAAATCATCTCTTTCCTCTCCTCGGTCCATATTTCGATTACATTCTTGAAACAGAACAGTATCCCGCTTGTATATGTAGTAGATATGTACTGAAAACGGGTCCGAAAAGTTATTCCAGAGCTTCTTTTAACCTTCTCCTGGGACAACTGCTGCTGCTGCTGCTGTCCAGCAGCCACTAGACCCCAACAAGAGGCATGTTTTTTAGTTGTTGTGTTGATGGCAGTTTATTGTAAGTAAACATGTTTGAGTTCCCCTTGTACAAAGATAGAAGGGTTTCGCGTTGCTATTTGGTAGATGTACAGTGCGTCTCTCTTTTATTTTGTGCAAAATTACAAGAGGGGAGAATGTTGAATCAATTTGCAGGAAACGTAATCGAAAGACGAGACAGGAAGGCACACATAGATTTGAAGAATTACAGAATCATTTTCACAAATCAAAATGCTCATTGCAAGTGATCAGAACCATCAAGAACCGAGTCGCCGTCGTGGCTTCATTCGTGTGGTTTGCGTGGCAGTCTGACAACACAGGCATCTGCAGCAGATCAGCTGTCAAATGCTTCTCCAGAATAGTATTGCTTGTGAACCATCTTTCTGTAATCTGAAGAAAGATCAAAAGTGACAGATAAGATGATAAGCCTAGCACTCTTTCAGCAGGGAATCCCTAGGTCAGAAGTTCATCAAGACTTGCCAACAACAACAAGAGAAAGAAAACCAACTAAAGACAGATGGGAGGAGGGAAATGAAATAATACAGCTGCTTTGGAAGGGTATAGATGTAAAAGAACTTTAGGTAACTTGAACCAAGAAAGTACAGCTAATTGGAAGCTCCCAATTCTATAAGACAGCAGAGAGAATAAGTTGGTTCCTTTTTCAAAACGTTAATACAAAAAGAAACCAATTTCATGGATATTCATATTCTTATTGTTATACTTCTGTATTACCTTCCTTGTTGTTCAATAGTTTTGCAGCATAGCTGTTCAGAGGGCTATCCGGATTGGGCTCTACATTGAAGGAAACCAAGAATCAGTCGAGAGACAGATGCAAAATGTCCATGAAAAAGGAAGTAAAGGCACAAATTATGGAATTCGCAAGCATACCACCCAATAGGCTTTGAATCGACAAAAGAATCGTTCTGCAGTCATAAGCTGAAGACCACTTATCCTATACACAGACAAAAATGGAGGATCTCATCAGTAACAGGAGAGATGTATTAGAAGCACAAAACAAGAGAAAATCAGATGCTGGGAATCGACTTGGCCAGGTCGGATTGGGGGGAAACGGTGTGCAATGAATACCTGGAGAATGTCGAGGCATATGTTACCAAACTGATCAACATTTGGGTGAAAACACATCGTCTCGAATTTCACTTGTGGTGGCTTGAACGGGTACTCGAGAGGAAAGCGCAGGGATAGCTTGTAGGACAAGCCCTCATACGCAGTTCCTTTCCCGCCCTCAATCGTTCCAACCCATGTGAAGATGCTTTCGCCTTCAGGGAAAGCCGAAACTCCAAGATCCCCTCCGCTCATCTGCGGTTTAAGACAACAAACAAATGTTTCAGAAACACCCTACCAAATCTCCATCGCCATATGAAATTCAAATTCCGACCACGAACACATTCGTTCAGTTTGCTAACTCTACACAGTTCTTCACACCCATAAGCAAGTCCAAGCTACTCATAGTCATAGCCATGAAGACTCAACACTAGGTTGCAACTTATCCTCAGCATAACCGAATTCATCTAGTTCGTTACCAATTTTGCATTAGCAACAAGAACAAGGCATCTATGTATGATGTATCCCCGTTTATTTGACACACTTCAAACTCACTACTATTTGAAATTAATCAATGGAGACCTTTGTAGTTGCTTGTTGCCAATTGTCAGAGATGGAAAAGTTAAGAAAAGTAATGTGCACAGGAGAATTGAAGAGGAAAAGGATTTCTCACATACCATTAGTGACATCAATTCCTTCTGCAACCTGAAACCCCACCAAAAGAAAGGAAACACAAGAAAAAGGTCAGGAACAGAACCATTCATATTGCCATCGACAGAAAAGGGAAAGAAGCAAGATTCCAAATTTATGTTCACCCTCCAACCCCATGCACCCACTTCTTCCCAGAAACCAAACCCACAATTCAGAGGGGAAGAAACCAGAAAAAGAAGGGTGGACGACGACGCGCCAACACACAGGAACCGGAAAGCGGCCACCGCCACTAGAGTCGCCAGATAAAGAACAAATAGCAATCGCAGAAAACCAAGAAAGAGAGGCGGAATGGACCTTTGGGACACGGAGGTAGTGTCGACGGAATTGGGAGGAGGGACGGGGGCCTTGGAGCCAGCCGCCGCCTGACGGCGGTGCTGCGGGGAGTTATCGGCGGTGGCGGGATTGGGCCTGACCTCCATGACTAGGGAGTTTTCCTTCCTTCCGGTGATCCGATGAAGAATTCAAGGCTTATTTGAGACTTGGAGTGAAAGGTAGGAAGTAAAAAAGGTCAGTGAGTGATCGAAATCCAAAGAGAACAGCGAACGCCTATCAATCAATCAATCACAATGAAACCAGAAATATTATAATCCGAATTTGCATAGCTGACTTATTTTATTTCCTAAGATGCTCTTCTTTCTACCTTTCCCTTTTCCTTTATTTTTTAATTCCAACTATTATGCGGGTCATATAGTGGGTTAATTACATAAATATTAATTTACCATTAATATGGCAGATTAAAAAGTATCGACACAGATATTGTGTTTTGGAGAGCAAAACCAGCGAGACTTCTTGAGACTCAGGCGCTGCCGCTATTTCTAAATTTTTGGATCATTTGATTATTGTGACAGGGGCGGCGCCCAAGACTAAGCAATACCGCCTGAGACTGAGGCGAGTTGGTGGGAATTTGTACCTGGCGATGGCGCCCAGGACTATGGCGGGTCCGTTGGCGTATTGCTGGTTACTCCTATAAAACCAGTGAATTTCCTTTCAGTTATTCACCACAAAAAAATCGACGAAGTTTGAGGAGGAGAAGCTCTAGTTTTTTTTTTTTGACAAATAGATGATTTCCATTCATATCAACGATAATCGTACAAGCATAGCCACATTACATCAACGGAAAAACAATATCCAATACTTGGATCCAATCCGGAGGGAGAGATCCATTAGCAGCTTCTTTAGCGACCCAATCTGCACTTTTGTTGTTTGATCTTGGTGTAAAGAAGATTACTAATCCTGGATACAAATGGAGAAGACTGCGAATCCCTTGAATCCAAGCCCTCACCTCCCATGGGCCAACTCTCCTCGGATCATGTAGTATGTCAATAAGCACTTTGCAATCTGAGAAGATAGAAACTGGATAATGGAGAGAAGCAGCAACTCTCACAGCAGTCAACAAGGCTTTTGCTTCCGCAACTATCGCTGAAGAACAGAAGAAGGTGTCAGCATAACCATCCACAACTTGCCCATGGGGATTCTTAATGATGACCCCATATGCCGCCACCTGTGATTCCGATCTAAAAGATCCATCACAGTGAATTTCCCAATGGGAAGAACTAGGCGGTAGGCTGAGTGCAGTATGGTTTGATCGATGCTGGGCTTGGATATCGACGGTGCTTGGAGGCTGAAGAGGAGTCGTCCAGAAAGTGAAATCCCTAACCGCATTAGTCGTGGTAACTGTAGTACGTGGCAAGATCCCTTTGAACACTCTCTCATTCCGAGCCAGCCAGATAGCCCAAAGGCAGGCCACCACAGCCGGGACAGAAGACGCAGGAGAGTTCTCGTGAATATCCAAAAGCCACATAACAACAGGCCTCGCATCCTGGGGGAGGGTAAGAGAAGGATGGTTAACCTGCCACACCCTAGCCGCGTGCGGGCATTGAAAGAGGCAGTGTCTAACGTCCTCCTCTCCCAAGTCACAAATCGGACACATCGGAGATGGGCTACATCTACGAGACCAAAGATTCCTCTTCGTAGCCACCGCATTCCTCGATATCCTCCAAATAAAGGAGATGATCTTTGGGGGCAAAGAAAGGCTCCATAACCACTTCCAGGCTTTGGAAGTGCAGTCAGGGTGGTTCAGATTCGGAGTCCCAAGGCGATTCCTTTCTGACTCTCTGTACACATGGTAAGCTGATTTCACAGTGAAAATCCCCGATCTCTCGAAATGCCAAACCCAATCATCCCTAGCATCCTCATTCCCAATTGGGATCCTCCTAATAGCCTCCACTTCAGCCGTTGTGCAACTTTGACGAATGATATCAAGGTTCCATTCACAACCATCATCCATGATCCATTGAAAAGCCCACAGTTGCTGCCTAATCCCAGGCTGAAGTTTAAAAGTAGGCAGACCTGGAATCCAAGGATCTTTCTCCAACGAAATCGTTCGACCACTTCCCATGTTCTTCCTTGCCCCCAATTTAAGAATTGATCTTGCTTCACAAATACTTGACCAAATCCAAGATGGTTTCCTTCCTTTTCCAGCCTCCATAAAGTCACAATCAGGGAAATAGAGACCCTTGAGAAGTTTAACCCATGTTTCGTCCTTGCCATTCAAAATTCTCCAGGCTTGCTTAGCCAGTAGTGCCATATTGAATTGATGGAAATCCTTGAATCCCATACCCCCTTCTTGTTTTGGATCCGTTAACACACTTCCCTTTCTCCATGGAATGGCCTTCTTGTCCATATCTCCACCCCAGAAGAAAGCCTTGAGACGAGCATTCATCTTCTTTGTTGTGCCTTTTGGAAGTAGGAAGCATGACATAAGGTAAGTTGGGTAACCTTGGAAAACATATTTCAACATCACCTCCTTCCCAGCTTGCGAAAGAGCCAGACTCTTCCATGCTTGACCCAGATTCTCCATTCTGTTGATAAGCACTGAAAATACCTCTTTCTTTGATCGACCCCATTCTGTAGGGACCCCCAAATATTTTCCCATTCCAGTAGACAAGGGGATACCTAAGCAGTCTGAGATGAGCTGCTTAATAGTATCAGGAGTGTTGTGACTGAAGGAGATTGCTGATTTTTCACAATTAATCTCTTGACCCGTCATTGCTCCATAGATCTCCATTGTTTTCTTAATGTGCATAGCTTCTGCCAATGACGCTTTTCCAAACAGGATTGTGTCATCTGCAAAAAGGACATGGGTAAGTCTAGGACAGTATGGGTTTAGAGAGATCCCTTGGAAAATTCCCTCTTGAACACTTTTTGAAATGAGGAAAGATAAAGCATTAGTCAGGATGATGAACAGGAGAGGAGAAAGAGGATATCCCTGACGGATGCCTCTGGATGGATGGAATTGCTGCGAAGGTTGACCATTAAACAACACTGAGAAGCGAACCGTCTCAATGCATTCCTTAATCCAAAGGCGCCACTGCTGAGCAAAACCCATAGCTTTGAGGATGTTCTCCAAGCACTCCCACTCAACCATATCATATGCCTTTTTCACGTCCAATTTAATCATCATTTCCCACTTTCCCCCTTTCGGTCGAGTCTTAAAGTGATGCATAACCTCATGCACAATGAAGATGTTATCCTGGATAGCTCTTCCCCCCGTGAAAGCTACTTGCAAATCCGACACAAGAGAAGGGATCCATTGGTTCAGCCTTGTAGTCATGATCTTTGAAATGACCTTATACCTGAAGTTGCAGCAACTGATAGGTCTGAATTGAGAAACTCTCTCCGGGTTCTGGATCTTAGGAGTCAGAACAAGGTGTGTATCATTCCATTCCTCCGGCATAGCATTCAGTGAGAAGAAATCTTTGACCTCCTCACATAGTTGAGCTCCAATTGTCCCCCAGTAGGTCCTATAGAAAAGGCCAGGAAAACCATCTGGACCCGGAGATTTACCCGCACCGAGCTCAAAAACCGCCTTTCTAATCTCCTCCACCTCAATAGGCTGACATAGAGCTTGATTCATTTCATCAGACACCACACAAGGAATACTCCTGAAAAGATCACGATCCACCACCATATCCCTTTTCTTAAACAAATTCTTATAGAAAGACACACAGTGATTCTGAAGATCATCATGGTGAGTCATCCAATTATTCATGTCATCCAGCAGCTTCAAAACCTTATTACGATGACTTCTCAGGATGGTCGATGTGTGGAAGAAATTCGAATTTTTATCTCCACCTTTGAGCCAATGCACCCTAGATCGTTGACGCCAGAAGATCTCTTCCTCCTTCCAAAGAATGTTAAGTTCATCAAGCAGTGACCTCTCTTCCTCAGCCACAACCGGATCACGAGTGAAATCCAGAATGTCTTTCAGCCTGTTTTGGATCGCTTTAATCCGGAGAGCAGCATTCCTCACATTATTTTTACTCCAATCCAAAAGCTCTCTTCGGCAAGCATTCAGGCAAAGTTGGTGATTTCCACCTCTCTCCCATATGCGCCTAATAATGTCATCACAACTTTCATAATTAGGCCACCTATGGTCAAATCGAAAAGTGGTTCTCCGCCTTCTTTGGTTAGCATACAATTCAACTCTCATTGGGCAATGATCCGACCCAATCATTGGTTCATTGTGGATAATGGTGCTGCAAAAATGGCTAATAGGTAAGAGACACATTTATTTTTTTAATTATATTATTCAAATGCTATTATGATTTTGTTTAGTTAATTAGTGAGTTTTTTTTTTAGTGATTTTAGAAGATTTGAACTAGTCGTTCAGAATGGTTTAGGATGGTTACCATTTTTTTGGTAGCCATCATGGCTACCTATATCTCTACTCTCCATTCTGAGCATTTTTAAATTGATTATTATGATTGATTGGGGTTAGTTTTGGAAAAAAATAATAACCACACTGGATTACTATCCTTTAAATATAACTTTTCATATATTTTTCAAATCTCTAATAATTATCCCAATCCTAACAAACTATTATATATCTCCGCCTCTCCCACCACCTGCCGTCCCTCCCTCTCCCTCCCACCCTCCGCCGGCCCTCTATTCCTCCTCCACCCTCCCTCCTTCCTCCCCTTCGCCTCTCCCCTCCCCATCCCAAGCCACTCCCTCCCATCTCCCCTAAACACCCCACCACCTCCTCCACCCTCCCTCCTCCATTTCTCTCTCTCTCTCTCTCTCTCTCTCTCTCTCTCTCTCTCTCTCTCTCTCTCTTTCTCTCTCTCCTAACCACCCCACCACTCCCCTCGCAATCTCTCTCTCTCACAGGCGACTGGAAAAGGTGAGATGAATAAAAATTTTAGATCTGATTTTTTCGCATTGGTAGTGAATTTTTTCGTAATGGTAGTATTTTTTCGCATTGGTATTGTTTTTGTCGCATTGGTATTGATTATCATGTAATGTTATTAATTTGCATGTATTGGTATTGATTAAATCTGCAATGGTATTGATTTTTTTGTGAAATGGTATAGATTTATATTGGTAGATTGTTTATATTGGTAGTTTTCGTGTAATGGTATAGATTTATTTCTGCAATGATATTAATATTTTTCAAAGTGGTAGTGGTTGTCTAATGGATTGGTAGTGATTTCGTGTTTTTTTTCTTTTGCAGAAAGATTGAGAAAAATAAGGAAAGGGGATCTGGCTAGAGATTATGGAAGTGAGAGAAAGAGAGAGAATTGTAATTAATATATTCTTGTAACTATCTAAAATGTAATTTATTA